AAATTAATTAATTTAATTAATAATTAAAAAATTTTGTTTTAATTAAAAAAATAATTAATAACTTTTTATTACAAAGGAAATTAATTACAATGAAATAATCAAAATATTTTATTTTATTTATAAGAAAGTTAATTAAAAATAATAATTAGGTTTTTTTATTTTAAATTAAAAGTTCTTTATTTTAAAAAATTTTATTTTAAAAAATTGATTGATTAGTTTTTATTGAAAAACACGTTGTTTTCAAAAAAGAAAAGTAGTGATATTGGCGAGAAATGAAATTCTAGCCTTTCACGACTCAAAAAACGCGATTTCCAAGCGGTATCCTTGGAAACGGCGAAAAGTTGAAGAGGGCAGCACTAACATACACTGAAAATTTAGTATGCTATATATATCGGTAGTCCCCACCATCGACCCTCGCCGCATCTAGTATATTTATCTAAGGTTTTCTTCATAATCATAATTTTCATCACTACTTTGAATATTTCTTCACTTATTTTTCTCCTTAGTTTATTACTATTTTCACTTTGGTGAAATTTTCCACTCTTTCCATAAGGCTGGAGTCCCATGGTAGCGTTTTGCGTTGCGTTTTGTAACTAGGCCATGAGTGCAAATAGAGCAAACATATATCTCTGTCTCTCTCACACTCATGGCCTAGTTACAAAACGCAACGCAAAACGCTATCATGGGACTCCAGCCTAAGTTGAATAAGTTCAATTTAGTTGGTATTCCCTGGTATTCCCCACGTTTCCAAGATCATTTCTGTTGGACGATAATCGGAGGTCTCAACATAACCATAAAATTAGATGAAGAAAGAATTCTTTCTAATTTTTGTCTTTTAAAAATTCGTCTAAATGACATTCTATTCAATAAAAATTCTAGTAAATAAAAAAATTTTGATAAAATTAAAATTCCACGTAATGTATAAATTCTGTCAAATAAAATTAGAGAAAAATTGCATTTTATGAAATGGTTATAAGATTTTTTATATTTATTAATTTTGATATAATTTTATTATATTTAGGGAAGATATACCCGAGGATGTAAAGGATTGCATTAATTTGAAGAATGGAAAAATTGAGTATCTACATAGTGATGATATGCAGCATAAAAAAGTAATCATATCGACACTTATCTCAGCTGCAAGGTACATATTTAAGTTTATTCTATAATTATAATAATTTGTTTGCATCACTTTTCCTAACAACAGAGTTTTTCATTTAAAATTTTCCTACCAAGAAAATCTATTAAAATTTTTTTTATATTTACGCATTTAAATAGTGTTGTCAGATGCCTAGGGCAGATTCCCCCTAGTTTAATTTTAATTTTTTTCTAAAAAGACAAATTTCTCCCTAAATTCTTAAAACATGTATAAATATTTATTTTAGTAAATTTGACTCAAAGTATAAGTTTCTTAAAAGTTAGAAATCGATTTTTCATAATATTTCAGATTTTTGAGATTACAACATTTCACTCATTTTTTCAATTATATTTTTATCGATGAAGCTGGGCAAGCAACTCAGCCGGAAACTTTTATTCCTTTTGCTATCTCAATGAGACATATACGATGTAAAATTGTAATGTCTGGAGATCCGAAGCAATTGGGACCAGTTGTAATGACCAAATATGGAAGTCATTTACTAGGTTTGTAAAATAGAAATTATTTTATTAAATTATTATTATTCTTTTGTGGTCCTTCAAATAAATACAAATAAAAAAATCTGTTTTCTAAGAAAATTATTTTTTTGAACTTCATAATTCCGAAGTTATGACACTAATTATTATAAGTATACCTACCCGAAAATTAAATTAATTATATTTAATTTTTTTTCAGGAATTTCAATGTTGGAACATTTAATGGAGAAGAGTTATCTTTACAAGAAGGACTATAGTAATAAATACGATCCGAACTTTTTAACGAAACTAGTTCAGAATTATCGAAGTCACGAAACAATTCTTCGATTACCAAACCAAATGTATTACGACAGCGAACTCGTTGCATGTGCTGGGGATAAAGTGAAAATTGCCGAAAATTGGAATCATCTACCGAAGAAAGGATTTCCGATTATATTTCACCCTGCGTATGGACATGAAGAAAATAATGAGTCTCATAGGTCTTTATACAATTTTTTTTAATTTACAAAATATAATTTAATTTACAATATAACTAAATTTGTTATCATGTTTATATTTATTATATAATAATTTTTTGCTTTTACCATCAGGAAGCAAAAAAGAGAAAAAAAATACAAAACTAATACGCTATACTTTTAATTTATTTAGCGTTGCAAACAAAGTTGAGGCAGAAATTGTTATGAACTATGTTGAAAAATTACTTGATGAAGGTTTGGAAGGTATGCAAATTTCCGAAGAGAATATTGGTATTGTCACGCCATTTCGATATCAAAAGAGTATAATTATGGAGAAACTTGAAAATAAAGAATTGTCCAAAATATCTGTTGGAACTGTCGAAAGTTTTCAGGGTCAGGAGAGAGATATTATCATTGTCTCTTTAGTCAGGTCAGCAATTTTCAAAAACGGAAAGAAACCTCACATTGGATTTTTGTCTGACGATAAGGTATAATTTCACCATATTTTTAAATATTTTGTTTTTTATTTGCAATTCAAATAAAATATATGGAACATTTAAAATGTTTTTCATTTTATTCAAGTTCAATTTTAGAGATTTAATTCGATTTAAAAAAAATTAAAGTTTAATTTTAGAAATTTAATTCAATTTAAAAAAAATTAAAGTTTAATTTTAAAAATGTACAATTTAATGTTAAAAATTGAACTTTTATTTTAGAAATTTAATTCGATTTTAAAATTTTAAGTTCAATATAAAAATTTAATTTAATTTTGAAAACGTAATTTAATTTTAAAAATATAATTTAACAATTTTAAGGTAATCCCTGTTTTCATCAAAATTCTAAAATAACGGTAAAAATAGTGATTTACTAATTTTTTTTATTCCATTAATAGAGATTTAATGTAACAATAACTCGAGCAAAGTGTTTGCTTATCGTTATTGGACATCCAAGGGCGTTACAAATCGCCGATTGTTGGAGAAATTTTATCAACTATTGTAAAAATAATAAAGCCTATTACAAAGATGAAAGTGCCAATCATCAAAACATTAAAAATAGAAATAGAAGGGGAAGAAAGAGGGATCAGAATAAGGATAAAAGTGACAATAATCAAAACATTGAAAACAGAAGAAGCAGAACTGTTGTGAACAAGGAAGAAACTGATAATAACAAATACAAAGATTTAAGCACGGGAATAAATTATCCAGCGGATTCTACTGAAAATGAGTGCGCATATTTTATTTTTTGTACATTTCTCCTCGTTTTTAAACATGAATTAATTTTTATATATACTTTTCGAAAAAGTTTAAACGTCAATTTAATTGTCCTTTTTTCAAATAATTTTTTTTAATATCCAATTTATTTCTTATCTATCAAGAAAACTGAATTGTTTTATATTTCTACTTTTTTTTGTTTTTTGTACAATATTGTCGATTATGAAAGATTTTTTTTTGTCAAAGCGTTGCTAAATTCACTTCAATTCACTCCTAGAGAGTGACATTAAAATTTATTTTAGAAATAAAAATTTTATAAGATTTAAAAAATGTTTTGCTTTTCTGTTAAACTATAAGGAATAATTGAAAAAAATAAAGCTACGTTTTTTTAATCATGAAAATTTATCAATACGTCGAATTTAGAAAAAAGAGAAGCAAACGTGAAGGAAACAGTAAAAAACAGAAGTAGAAATAAAGTAAAAAAATAAAAATTTCAACATAAAAATTAATTTTTTTAAATATGTTTAGAAATCTATTGGTTTAAAAAAATAGAAGTAATTTTTGACATTTTTTTTCAGAATTAAGAGTTTTGAAGTACCAATGAGTGAGGGGAATTTATCGCTTGATAATCACGCAGAACCAGTTGCTGCAATATCAACAGTCGCCGAAGCAGCACAACCGGAGGAACCAAATGAGCCACTTTCAGGTTCTGGCAATAAATTATTTATTAGATTTCTTAAATTTTTTCGATGTCAAAAACGTTAAATTTAAGAAAAAGAAAAACATAATTATGTAACATGAGCATTGAAAATAAAACAAAAATTTTCATAAAATGGAAATTTTTTTCCTGTAATTTCTTTTACCTTCCCCCCCCCTTAATTTTGAAACATTAACAGAATTTTAACAAATATTTTTGAAGAAATTTTGACACAAGCCCATGGAAATCGTGTACATTTCGCTGAATTAGAAAACGATAATGGACAATTGACAACATTTGAAGGTAAATTATATTTCTCTTATTTATTAAATGAACAAACACATTTTACAAAAATGAATTATTACTTTTTCGAAAATGATTTACTTGTAAACTGTTGTAAATGAAAAATTAAAATTATTTAAAATATAAAAAAATATAAAATTAGTTTATTTAAATTATTTAATAAAATAAATAGAAAAAAATTTCCTTTTCAGAAGAGAGAAACAATTTGGAAAGTAGAAAAAAATCGAGAAACGAAATTAGCGAGGAAATAGCAAAGGCTCTTAATTTCTATGAATCATCGGACAATGAGATAATTCCATTTGTCGAAACATTAACAAATAAAGAACAAATAACGAGGAAATTTTTCAATAAATTCACTCAGACATTTTTTAAGTACATGAAAAATTTGTCAAATCGTCGAGTAATGGAAATTATCAAACAAAACATTGATCACAGTGATGAATCATTGATATTTTTTTGCTCCGAAAACAATCTTTTATACACTTTTAATTCATAAACGAATCAAAAAAATTTTTATAATTATTAAAATTTTAATGAAAATATTCAATAGATAGAATACAATTTTTTTCATCATGTAGATTAAACATTGCATGAATTTTGTAGAAAAAATGAATTAATAAAATTTTTTAATAGAAGATAGAATAGAATTTTTTTCATGAGGATAAAAATAATTAGTTTTTAGGAAATAAAATTAACAAAATCACATTTTTTAAATATATTTTTTATTAAAACTAACAATTCTAATTAGCAAAATATATTTTTTTTTCTCTGACAAATACCCTATACAATTATAGGGGAGAAGATAAAAATGAAATAATTATTTTACACGTTAAACAGTAAAACGTTTTTTCATATTTTTTAATTCTCTTTTTTTTTAAATTCTATACTAAAAATTTTTTTGGAAAGTGATTTTTGTGTTTTCTGATTAAAAGAAGTTGAAGTAAAATACTGAAATACAGTATTGACAAGAACTAAGTGTTCTAATATTGTTTTTAATATTCTATGAACTAATGGAAATGTTTCAGCCAAGAAGGAACATTTTAAAAAGAGTCAAGTCCTTTCTATTTAATACTCTTATTTCGGTAACAGAGAATCAGCTTTCTTCACTGTAGCTTCAATAGCGTTTATTACTGATGCTCTGAAAAATTACAAATCGCAAATTTATTTTCATTCATAATATTAATAAAGAATAATTGGCTAATTTAGTAATTAACTAATTAACTAATTGTGACACGCTCCGAAGAAAGGTGCCTGAGAAGCAAAAAATTTTAGGTTATGTTTATAATTTTTCAAAATAAAAATCAACTCTCAATATAGACCACTAATTATTAAATCTAAAATAATTTATAAAAACTGAATTACGAATTCTGATGTTATACCTAACAGATTGTTTTTCCAGTTCATGCATTCCGCATATTGTAGTTCCACCGGGAGAGCAAACTTCATCTTTCAATTGTCCTGGATGTTTCTTCGTTTGCAAAACCATTTTTCCCGCACCAACCAACACTTGAGATGCAAATTTTGTTGCTTGTGCTCGAGGGACACCCATTTTTACTGCTCCATCAGAAAGAGCTTCAATCATAAGGTATGCCTTGAAAAAAATGCAAAAATGCAAATTTTATTTTCATTTTCATTTTCGGACCAAAAAAAATTAAAAAAAAAAAAAAAAATAAAAATTAAAAAAAAAAATTTAATTAAACTTTACCAAAAAAATTAATTTCAAAATTCAATTATTTCTAAAAATTCACGCTATATGTAATATTCAATTAAAAGACCCAAAATTTTTACTGAAATTCATATTTAAATCAATTTTTTTTTATTAAAAAATTCTACTAGAATTGAATGATTTAAATACAAATAATATGCAAATAAATAATTGATTGTTTCTTAAAATTGATTTCTCATAAAGAATTTTATCAATAAATTTTCAAATAATTGAATTCTCTCCACGAATTTTAATAGGATTTTTAAGAATAATTGAATTCTTTGCAGTAATTCAATTAAAATTGTACTAAAAATAATTGAATTTTTTTTTGGCGAAAAATTTTGCGAGATTTTTTTTCTTAAAATTTTTGTAAATAATTGAATTTCGGCGAAAAATTTTATTACCTACTTTTGAAGATAATAATTGAATTCTTGTGATGAATGCCCAAGAAAAATTTTTGTAACTTTTGAAAATAATTGAATTTTCTTAAAATTCCTGAAAATAATTGAAATTTCTACGAAAAATTTTTATTACTTTGGAAATAATTGAATTTTGCATTTGATTTTTATTAAAATTCCTGAAAATAATTGAATTTCTGGGCAAAATTTTGTTATTTATCAAGATAATTGAATTTTTTCGAAGAATTGCATTAGAATTTTTGAAATAATATTGAATATACATATATATTAAAGAATTCAACTTATTTCAAAAGAATTGAAATTAAAGTTTTTCAAAAAAATTCATTAAATAATTTTATGTTAGTTCTTGAAGAATTAAGTTATTTAAAAAGAAATTATTGTCAAAAATAGAAAAAATTGAAGGTTTTGTATTAGAATTCGTGGCAATAATTTTTAATTTCACTAAAATTCAATTTTTTTTTGTTTTTAACTAAAATTCTTCTATAAATGCATTATTTTTAATAATTTTTAAAAAATTTCTTTGACAATTTTTAAATCCATTTGTTTACAATATTCGATTTATTTATTTTAATTTATTTATTTTAATATTCAATTAATTCCACAGAATCGTTAGTTAAAAATATAAAAAAAATTTATTTTCAAAGATTTTAATTTGAAGCCTTTTTAAACATCTACTATAGAATTCAGTTATTTGCATTTTTTTAAAAAATTGAATTCTCATAAAGAATTTTATTAATAAATTTTTAAATAATTGAATTCTTTTGACGAATTTTAATAACATTTTTTAAGAATAATTCCATTTTTCGACAAATTCGATTAAAATTGTATTAGGAATAATTGAAATTCTACAATCAGTTTTATTATTTATGAAAATAATTGAATTTCTAAAAAGAATTTTATTATTTACAAAAATAATTGGATCCCTGTAAAAATTGTATTATTTATAAAAATAATTGAACGATTGCGAAGAACTTTATAAAAAATTTGCGTAAATAATTGAATTTCTGTAAAATTTTTATTATTTTCTGAAAATAATTGAATTATTGCGAAGAAATTTATAAAAATAAATTTGTAAATAATTGAATTCCTGTGAAATCTTTATTATTTTATGAAAATAATTAAATGTTTGCATATAGAATTTTATTAAACTTTTTTTAAATAATTGAATTCTTTTGGACAATTTTATTAAAAATAGTAAATTTTGTCTTGAAAATCATTGATTAAGGAAAATTTTTGAAAATAATTGAAATTTTGCCAAGAATTTTATTAAAATTTTTGAAAATAATTGAATTTCGGAGATTATTGATTTTGACTCTGAATTTTAAGAAATTTCTCTTTTGTGTTTGAGATGTTTTTCAAATAGTTTTAACCACTTTTTGTTTATTTAGTTGCAAGGATTCAAGAGTCAGTGATTCAATCATTTTTCAATTCTCGGCCTTAATGTTCATAATTTAAGCTTTTAATTTGAGTCCTTTTAGAGATTTTTATGATGTTGTGTTTTTATTTTACGGTAAAAAACTATTTTCACCTTCCTTGTTAATAAAAAAAGAAAAAACATTTCAGCAAGTAAACCGTCGGCAAAAATCTTTAAAAAAAAAATTTCTAAAAGTTTCAATTTTAATATGAAAAAAGTCCTTACAAAAGCTGGAGCTGATCCGCAAAGAGCACTATATGCATTTATTAATGACTCTGGAACTATTTCTATTAGTCCAGTACAAGAAAATAATCTTTTTACTATCTCATCATCCTCGGGAATTGTCCCCTCCGAACAGTATACTGAGAAAAATTAAAAACTATTTTATTAGGAAAAATAGATAAAATACAAATTTAATTGAAAAATTTGAATTGCAAACCAATTATTCCTTCGCCAAGTGTAACTGGTGTATTAGGCATAGCTCGTACAATTCGTGGATTCGTTGTGAGAAGCTCAAGTTTCTAGAAAAGAATTATAATTTATTTAAAAATAATCTTTTTCCAAATTGTACAAATTCTTATAGATTAATTTTTTCTATACAATGAAAGTATATAAATTAATATTTACACTTTTTAATGTAGCTATTGGAGTTCCAGCAAGAACAGAAACAAAAACTTTATTTATATGACATCCTCTTAATTGATCTAAATCATTTAGGGCAGCATCCAAAACTTGTGGTTTTATTGTAAGAAATACAACGTCAACCTTTTTTATTAGTTCGACATTATTAAGTGTTGTATTAACACCCAATGAGTTCCATGTTTCCAAAGTAATTTCTGTCCGACTTGAAACCCAAATGTTTTCTGCACTAATAACTCCTGTATAAAAATAGGATTTCAGAAAAGTAAATTTAATAATATGTAATAATAATCAAATAATTTGAATACATCAAATTTAAAATTTTTCGGTCCGCCATATTGGATCTGCCATTTTGAATTTTGAAAATCTGACATCAGGATCAGATTCGTAATTAGCGACTCCGAAAACTCCCCAGATATAATTTGGCATCTGCTTTAATATTTTAACACTGTTTGAGGATAGGATTTTTATTGTTTTCTGTATTCTTAAAAGCCCACTTGTTGATATAAATATTAAATGATATTTCGTATTTTATATAAAGAAACTGTAAGAAATTTACCTTTATCGATGAAACAAGTTGCTAAAGCTCTCGCCATATTTCCTCCACCAATAAAACCAACTTTTTTCGTTATACACTCCATATTAACAACAATATTTGATTATATGTATTTTATTATTTAAATCAAAACAATTATGCCGCAAAACTTTTAGTGCACGTCTCGCGTGTTTATTATTACGAAAAGTGTTAACCATGGGGAAGATAAAGTCTAAGGTCGTGGAAAATAACAAACAACACTATATAGAAGATGTTTCAGTTTTGCTATTGCGCCATGATTCTAAGTGAATCCGCACGGCTGCGCTGACAATTCAAAGTCTAATTAAATGAATTAAATTAAACTTTTAAAAAAAAAGTTATCAATCTATATATTTTTTACTGCATTAGTATATTGTAATTATTATTAAACTTATGTGTCAAAGCATTTTTTATAAGATTGTTAACTTTATTTATAAATAGCGCTATTTTGCTTTCCAAAAAAAATTTCTTTAAAAATCTTCTTCACTTCTAGATTCTATCGAAATGGCTGCAATTTCAAAAATACAATTAATTTTTTTAAACAAAAGGTATAATTTACATAAAATTAATGTGCTTACCAGTAGCTGCTGCAGCTTCAGCGCCATTCAGCGCCATCTTCGTTGACTTCAATGAGAGTTTTTTTTATTTAGTTTCTTTTTCTAAAAATTTTGTTAATTGCTCATTTGTCATCTGAGGACTAATTTTTATTTATTTTTTTTTGTTTCTTCATTAATAATCCAAACTTCTTTCATCGTTAAAATTTCTCGACTACTTTGTCTGTAAGTCATTCTTTAGTTTGTTTTTCTTCCATAAACTAATAATCTCCAAACATAATTTATATCACATGTAGAAATAAAATCATGATTCAATATATCAAAAATAGGTTTTATTATAAGACGAAAAATTGAACGTATATTTTTTTTACATTATTTACAAAAAAAGGAATTAAAAATTATTTTTTTGTATATATTCCTGCTGAACGAAGCTCTTTTCTCACCACTTTGTAGAAATTATAGAAGCTACCACCTGTTGAATGATATTTTCTATTAGATTTATTTTCCTGACCTCGTTCCTGACTCGAGATGTAAAAACGATCGGGATCCTCAGTGGGAAATAATTCTTTCGCCTGCTCCTTCAACTTCAAGAACACATCAGTCTTAATTCTAAAAGGAATGAAGAAAAAGATTAAAACAATTTCAAAAAACAATTGTACTTTATCTATATATAATTATAATTAATAATTATATTATAAATTTTATATTATAATATTAAAAATTATATTATAAAATTAAAAACTATATTATAATTATTTATATAAGTGAGTAGAACTTACTTATAATTAACTGGGTCCTCTTCTATTTCTTTATAAATTATCAATTTTTTTAATCTTGTGTAATCAAGAGTTCCTGTTCTTTGATATATTCCTAATAAAACTTTTCCCTCTAGAGTCGAATTTAAAAAATGATATAATTCATTTTCTATAAAGACAAATTCTTCTGAAAAGCAGAAGGTGATATATGAAATGCAAAAAAAGAAAATGAAATTTTGTAAAATACTCGCTTTTTTTTACCTTGCTTCCAATCAGTCGCAATTCTGACCTGCGAATTTTCTAACTCGTCACTTACAGAATCGTCTGTATCATAAGGATGACTTTCAACTTTTATTTGTTCTATAGGAAGAATGTCTGAAGTGATTATTTCTTCCGACATTTTTTAATGCTTTGAAAGAAATTCTGCATTCATAACAATTTGCTGTAACCGCATTAACTAAAAAATGCAAAATTGCTTTGAAAATTTCAATAAATTTTTTTATTTTGTAATATTATAACTGATATTTAAGTTAAACAAAATTATTAAAATTAATGAATTATTAAATTTAATAAATTCTTTTTAAGTATATTTATATTTATACATATATTAAATATAAAACATTAATGTATATACATTAAAAATTTAATATTTTATCAGGTCTAAATTTTATATCATATTAAAAATTTTAAGATCTTTTTTGGATCTTTTTCATAAATTTCTTCTAAAGCTTACGAGAAAACCATTTTTCCATTGCTGACAAAAATAACTCATTTAATTAAAAATTATTGAATTAATATAATTTATTACTTATAAATATAATTAATTAAGGTCCTCCCCCCATTAATAGATATATTTATTTCTTATCTTTCTTACATGTAAAAATTAAACAATTTTAGGTTATCAAATCATTAAATTAAGGGAAACTATTAAAATAAAATTTTTAATACAAATTTCTCAAAAAAATTTTTGGGCAAATATTTTTATTTTTGTTGTGCAATCATATATTCATAAAATTGTGTAACCAGAATATTGACAAGAAATATCCAGGATTTTATAAAAAAAAAAAGTATTCCTTTCTTAATATTTTTGTTGTAAAAGCAAAATATCATCTGTTTACACTTTAGAATTAAAATTCACAACAAAATCCCATTCCCAAGTGCAAAGACTTTTAGGTTAAATCAGTTTCAAGTCCACCGTGTATATACATACGAAGTTCAATAAAGTAAAAAATAAAATTGGTTCTTTACAGTTGCAAAAAATAATTCTAACTTGTGTATTATATTATATATTTATGTATATATTGTAAAGAATTATAGGAAAATGAAATAAAATTTGAATTTACCTAATACTTTACTTACGTATAAAAAGACAGTTGTAAAAAAATTGGCGTGTAGCACTAAACGCACGTTTTGCAAATAATTTTATATTGACATAATAATAAACAATAACAATGACAAAGACGTGAGAAAAACGTCAAAAAACGTGTAGTACGTGTGAGTACGTATGTAGTAACGTTTTCTGAATAAAACATCCGAAATGTGAACTTTCTGTTAACTGAAACTTCTTACGGTCTAATCACAGTCTTTAGTGCTTGCATGCTCTGCATGGGGAATCCACACTGTGACTTAACCATGCCGCGTGTATTTTTCCTTTAGCTCAAAATAAACTGAACTGCCGACACCGACATTTTGCCTTTGTTCTCAATCAAATGTTTTTGCGTTTTTATTAGTATATATATACTTTTTAGTTTTTTCAATTTATATAATTTAATAGATTACTTGATAATTATTTATTATTTTACCATAAGCGTTTATTCTCCATTGGATTTAAGCGTAAGTTCTTGTTTTTCATTAAAATAATATTTAAAAGTATATTTCAACAAACATGCCAGTATTTAGGTTAGAATTAAAAGAAAGACAAACTTTTTATAAAATTGTCACATTCAATATAAAAGTTAATGAACAAATAGCATTATAACCGAGTTTTACTTGGTGAAACCATGTTATCCATAATTTTGTTATATTATTAAAAATTAATTATGAAAAATAAAAAGTAACGGCTCCATCAACCGGACTGAAGAGCAAAAGCAATGAACGAGGTATTAGTATAATATTTTTTATCATCGTTTTTATTATTTTTTATATATAATAAAATTTTTAAAATGTGAATTTTTTTTACAGAGAATATACGAAAAACAATTTTTGTTTATTACATATAAAGAACAGAAGAAGACAAATCTGAAGAAGAAGTTTTTTTTTATTCTTAATTTTAATTATATATATATATATGTTAGGCTCAAAGACCGAAAACGCTCATTGAACGAAAATCTCGACCACAACGCGTTCAAATTTCCTTCAAATTATTGGATACAATGTGAAAGAACTTTCAGTCATTTTTCAATACAGGATTTGTTAGGATTTTAATCAAAAAATCTTATTGGATTGGAAACAATTTTTAATAATCAATACACCGAATTGTCATTTGGCATCATATTTATATTCGTTCTATTTTACATTTTTAATGATTTGTATTATATATTGAATTTTTATTTATTTGAATTCTCCAATGTCTTATTCTTCAGATCATTTCTTTTCCATATCCTTTGTTTGTAATCTTCTGAATCATCTGTTGGAGAAAATATTGAATTGATTAAATCTGTAATTCGTTTCTCTTTCTCATTAGTCTTAATTTCATTTTGTTTGTTATCCCTTATTGTAGAAGTGGATCGAACTGAACTATCATCAAATTTAGGCCAAATAACTCGATCATCATTAGTCTTAATTGCATTCTGCTTGTTAACCTCAACTGTAGAACTGGATTGAGTTGAACTATCATCAAATTTAGGCCAATTAACTTGATCATTAGTTTCCTTCTGTTTGTTATCCTCAAATGTAGAACTGGATTCAGTTGAACTATCATCAAATTTAGGCCAAATAACTCGATCATCAAGAGCAAATACTATAGAAATACTAATTTGCATCAGTAGACACGTCAAAAAATCTAGAAAATGGAAAAGTAACACTTAAAATAAAAAATTGTAGAAAAATAAAGTTTTATATTCTATAAAAATTGTGCTTATTTTCATCCTATTTTTTTAATCATATTATGTACAAATATTAATTTTTGGAAAAATGTATAAACAATTTTATTTAGTAAAAAAAAAAAAATTACTTACATAGCTTCATTTTAATTGTTGCAGTTTTTTTAAAAATCACTGAATCGTATTCGTCGACTTTTCTGAAGGTAATGATTAGAGTTGCATGACGTATTATTTAAAACCTAAACGCTTTATTTATTTAATATTATACCATTGTATTAGTTTCTATCTTGTTTGTACAACTGCTGGAAGTTTACTTACTGTTAATTTTAATATTTAAATTAACTTTTTATCTTCCATACTATTATGAAATAAAAATTTGTCCTTGAATTTTATATGAATGGGTTTTTTTTTTATAAGAAAAGAACTTATTTCTCTCGAAAACTAAAAAATCGATTTTAATAAAATTTTAATATGTTGTAAATATAGACAAGACAATTCTAGAGAAAAAATTAAGTTTTTTTTAAAAAAGTAAAAAAAAAATTTTGAACTTAAAAAAATTTTTTTTTGAGACTTAAGTATTTGAAGTGAAAACTATAATTTTTTTAATACCTTAATAATGTCCCCTTTAACATATATTTTTTTCAAATATTTTAAAAATATAGTTTTTGAGACTTTGCAAAGTAAAAATTTATCTAAAAATTCGAATGATTTGACATTTTACTCGTGAGTAAAATGTCAAATCATTCGAATTTTTAGATCATAAAAACATTCTAACCATTCTAATTTTTGGTTTTCCGATATAATAAACCATTCGAACATTTATAGTGTGTCGAAATAAGTAGTTATTCGAACTTTTGGGCGATTCTATGAAATGAATATTCAAACTTTAATTTTTTTTTTTTTAAATGTACATTCGTACTTTTAATTTTTCTGTAAAATGTGAATTTAAACTTTTAGATTTTCGATTAAATAAACATTCGAACTTTTATTTTTTTGATTAAATAAACACTAAAAATTTTATTTATTTTGGTAGTTCCACAGTCGTGTGTCGATGCGCGGTTGATGGTAAAATGTTGTAGAATCTCCATTATGTTTTGCGTCCATCAAGAATAGTTGTGAACTGTTGTGAACTTCGCCTGCGATTTGTTTTGTATTGTTTTTTACGTTTTTTATTCTTTGAATTTTGATCTTCTTGATTTAAATTAAAAAATTTTTCTTTCTTTAAACTAATAAACGCATAGTGCTGAATATATTTCTAAACCAAAGTGTTCAATCAGGAATGTTCGTGCTTTAGAATTTATTCCTCTATGTAAGTTATGTTTTTCTCTTAATTAATAATAAAACACTATTTATAGGTTATGTTATCGAAACTTTGTAATTTTGTTACTGTTTTTAATAATTGAGGAGTAAGTTTTCAAAACCTGATAAATCCAAATTTTGTCATTTCGAGAAATTTAAACAAATGACAATTCTCACATAACCATTAAAATTAACTTTAATGTAGAAAAATTGTAATAAATTATTCATTTTTAAATATTTTTTCTATTTAAAATGCTCTGTTTGTAATTAAAGTCTATATTGTAATAAGAAAATTTAAATGTTTTGGTAATTTTTTCTAATAAAAAAAAAATTAAAAATCATCAAGGTTATTATTTTTTAAATTGAACATTCTTTGGTTATAAATTTTTTTTCTTAAATTAAACAGTGATAAATCGATTTCTAAAGATTTTAATATTTTAAATATGTGTTTATTTCAATTTTTTTGAAAAATGGATTTATCAACTTTTGAAAAATTGCTCCTCAATTAATAAACAAAATTGAATTTTTCGAATTTGTTTATTAAAGTCACCTGATGATGACGATGGTGAACCAATTCATTGAAACATCCAAAAAAAAATGAAATACATATATTATATTGAGTTTCATTTAATTCTTTCTTCCAAGAATCGAATAAAAATTTATTATTTATCGAATTACATTTTGTTAAATTTCTTTTTTAATAATTTATTTAAAAAATGTTTAATTTTATTATAGAAATTACAATTTTTTAAATCTATTTTATTAGAAAAATATTTTAACCGAAAAAATTCATTTTTTATTTAAAAAAATTATAAATTTATTACAATAAAATTTTGTTAAAAAAAAGGCCTTTTTAATTTATTTTAAAATTTTTTTATTTTTTTATTAGAGGCCTTTCAACTTTTAATTAACAAACTTAAATTTATAGAATAAAATTTTGTTCTATCGAATTTTTTATTTTATTAAATTTCTTTTTTAATAATTTATTTAAAAATGTTTTAATTTTATTATAGAAATTTAAATTTTTCATCTCTATTTTATTCGAAAAATATTGTAACCAAAAAAATGCATTTTTTATAAAAAAAAAATTATAAATTTATAGAATAAAATTTTGTTCAAACAAAGGCCTTTTTAATTTATTTAAAAAAATTTTAGTTTTATTATTAATAGAAATTCAAATTTTTTTTATCAATTTTATTAAAAAATTAACATTTTTAGTAAACAAAATTAAATTTTAATTATAGAAAGTGAATTTATCATTCGGCAGTTAAAGGCCTTTTTTCGGCTTCTTTCTCCTTTAAAATTAAATTTTGTTTTAAAAAAGCCTTTTAATTTGTTTAAAATTTTTGAATTTTATTATTAACAGAAATTCAAATTTTTTGACTATTTTATTCAAAAAAATATTTGATCGAAAAAATACACTTTAAAAAAAAACATAATTAAATTTACATCTTGTCTTCAGTCTCAAATAAATTATTAAATATTAAAAATAGAAAATTAATTATTAATTATGTAGAAAAATACATTTCATTAAATAATATTTTTTTACAGAATTTCAAAAATGGACATTGAAAGGAGAAAAATTGCCGATGACCTAAAAGATGAAGATTACGAACTAAATGAATATATAAATGCAATCAAGGAGAAGAATAGCGAACGTATTAATTTATTAATAACGAAGGAAGGAATTTTAGAAGAAAAATTCTTGTTGAACAGGACTTTTCTTCACGCTGCCACGGAACATGGAACAACGGACAATGTTCATCAAATTTGCAATCTAGGCGCAAATGTTAATGTTTTGAATAAAAATAAAGAGACTCCGATTTTTAACGCTATTATTAGAAATTTAACGGAAATGATTAAGATTCTTATTGATTATGGAGCGAATGTGAATATTATTAGCAAAAAAGGCGTTAATCCTCTTCATCTCGCTCTACTTCACGGTTCCGAGGAAACTCTTCGAATTGTCCTCATTAAGGCTTTTATTGAAATTTCCTCAAATTTTATGGAAATTGATGAAAATTCACCGCCGGACTGGTCAAATTTGGATAATTTGAATCTTTTCAAAAATCTCCTAAAGGGAAAGCAGTATTTAAACATTAAACGCAATGATTATTCACTCCTCATATTCTCGGCTGCAAAAATGAAGAATAAGGAAATTTTCAATTTAGTTCTGAGTGATTGTGAAAATTTCGATTCTTCTTCACGAAGAGAGGAAAATGACGAACAGAGTATAATTCACTGCTGGCGATGTAAATGCAGCACAAAAATGATAAAATCCCAAGTATCCCAAGGATCCCAAGTATCTGTAAACATTCCCGGCTTTTTAAATTTAACAGCTCTTCATTATGCCGTGAGAAAAGAATTGCCAAACGTCGTGGAATTCCTTCTGAACGAAGGTGCCGATCCAAACTGTCGTACTCTTCACAATTGGACACCAATTCATTACGCCGCATTTCTCAATAATTCCCAAATTTGTCAAATTTTACTCAAATTCAACGCCGACGTGAATATAATTTCATTTTTTAAAAATCCCCTTCAACAAGCCTGCGGTGGAATAAATGTGAAAAATTGCTACAACACACTAACTGGTTACTATCACGATGAATTTCCCTATTCGGGCAAAAAATTCACATGCCACGAAAAAATAATGGAAATACTCATCGTGAACGGAGTGAATATTGAATGTCGAAATGCAAATGGAATGACACCATTGCTCGAGGCTTGCAGAGCAGGTTCTTTGGAGGCGGTGAATGTACTATTGGAATATAACGTAAATATTTTTGCCGTTGATGACGAAAAAAATACTGCCCTCCATTACGCGACACTTGGAAATTCATTGAGAATTATCGATCGTCTATTGGCTAGTGGTCTTAATATAAATGTGAAAAATAATCGAGGTTACACACCTTTGATGTTTGTGATAAAATACGGTGAGAAAGTGTTTTCCACATATTCACTGAAGCATCCGAAACATTCAAAGTTATCGAAAAATGGTGATATGGTCGAGTATTTGATTCAGAGGAAAGCGAATCTTAATGCGAGGAATAAAGAAGGTGGCACTGCCTTACACATTGCGATAATGAACAATTTACCTGATCTTGTTTTGACATTATTCGAATTGGGAGCTGATAGGGTGTTGGAAAGATTTTCTGATTCGAAAAATCGATTTATCACCGGTTATCATAAATTTCCTGAATATTCATTGATGAGTCGAACAGTGTTAGTGTCGCAAATTGCATTTAGAGACGACGATCTTTTTAGCTATTCGCATAAATTGTGTTTCGATGAGAAGCAATTGTTGAGGGAGACTCTTGATTTTTTCGATACTTCGAAGGAGGAATGTGAGGAATTGAGGACAAAGGAACTTTTTAGAAATTTTACCTACTACGATTTTTTAAGTACTGATTTAGCGATTGCTGCAAAAATTGTCAAGAAATCGAAAGTAATTAAAGAATTACGTTCATCGGCTTGTGAGAGGACAACAATGTTTCCTCACTTTGCGTATTTTATTCGAAGAAGATTTCAAAAAATTGAAATTTTGGAAAATTGTCTACCACCAATTGTCGAGTTCTTGTCGAATTATGGCGACAAAAAGAAGCTACCGGTTGAAATTGTTCGAGTTATTATCGATTATTTGGGTTGGAAAGATATTCAACTTTTCAGTAGAGTTTTAACAAAAATGTTATAAAAGAAGTTTTTTTTTTCATAAGTTCGATTTGTGCAACTTTATTCAAACAAAATAAGTATTTTTTTTTTCAAAATTCCGATTTGTACAACTTTGTTCAAACAAAATAATTTTTTTTCATAAGTTCGATTTGTACAACAAATTTGTTCAATATTTATAATTATATTGAAGTCACATTTATGTGATAAATTCAAGTTCGAGTTTCGATGAGCGAAAATAATCTTCAGTGTTCAAACTTTTTAAAAGAAAAATGATTATTCAATTAAAAGAATTCTATAATTTGTATTTTTAAAAAAGATATGTAGTTTAAAAAAAAAATACAATTTCGTTAAAATTAAAATATTTTTTTAAACAATCTACAAATTTGTTTATTTAATTTCTTAATAATATTCATATTTAATAACATTATTTATTTTTATTCATAAAAGTCAACACAGACTGCAATTCAAAAATTTAAAAAAAAATTCTCATCAAAATTTCCATTGCTTTTAGAAATATATTAAAATTATTTTCCAAAATTCAATTATTTTCAAAAAATTTCAATAAAATTCTTGGCAAAATTTCAATTCTTTTCGAAAAATTTTCCTCAATTCAATAATTTTTTTTAATATAGGTATCTATTATTTTAATAAAATTTTCCAAAAGAATTTAATTTATTTAAAAAAAAAAAAATTTCATAAAATTCTACGCAAACCTTTAATTATTTTCATAAAATAATAAAAATTTTACAGGAATTCAATTATTTACAAAATTTTTTTTATTAATTTCTTCGAAATAATTCAATTATTTTCATAAAATAATAAAAATTTTACAGGAATTCAATTATTTACAAATTTTTTTTTTTATAAATTTCTTCGAAAGAATTCAATAATTTTCATAAAATAATAAAAATTTTACAGAAATTCAATTATTTTCGTAAATAATGAAATTCTTTTTAGGAATTTTCAATTATTTTCATAAATAATAAAAGTCAATGCTGAATTTCAATTATTTCTAATAAAATATTTTAATGGAATTCCTCAAAAAGTGTAATTTTATTTTTATTATTTACTTTATTTTTTAAATTTATTATTTTGTTTTTATTTAAATAATTGAATTCTAATAGAATTTTCTAATAAAATAGAAATAAAAATTAATTTAAAAATGAATTTCACTTAAAATGTTAGATTATAATTGAACACTAAAAGAATTATAGCGTGAATTTTTTTTTAACACTTTTAATATAATAGTCTTTTAATTTTAATAAAATTTCTCTAACATATGTTCAATTATTTTTAAAAATTGTGATGAAACTTTTCTAAATTCAATTGTTCTAAAAAGTTTTTAATAAAATTCTTTGTAAATTTCAATTATTTTCAAAATTTTCAATTAAAATTACAATAAAAAATTTCATTATTTTTACGAAATTTAATGAAATTCATTAAACAAACGAAAAAGAATTATTTACAAAGACTATAATAAAATATTTTTTAAAAGAATTTAATTTTCTATGAATAATTGTAATATTATAATTTAATAGAAAAAAAAGTTAATTACAATTAATAACAATTAATAATAAACACGATTATTTGAAAAAACTTTTAAAAAATTCTTAAAATTCAATTATTTTCAAAAGTTTTAGTAAAAATTATTTTTAAAAACCTCCTTTATTTCCAAGAAAATTAAAATAAATTCTTCAAAAAAAGAATTCAATTATTTTTAAAAATTTTAATAAAAATTATACCAAGAATTAAATTTATTTTCAATATAATTTTAATTACATTTTCTCGAAAGAATTCAATTATTGAAAAAAAAGTTTGATAAAGTTCTTGAAATAAATTCAATTATTTTCGAATTTTTTTATAAATACTTTACAAGAATTCAATGATTTTCATTACATTAACAATATTTAATTATTTCTGAAAATAATTGAATTCTTGAATAGAATTTTCTTAAAACTTTTTTAAATAATAATTGAATCCTTGTGAAAAAATTTATTATTTCTACAAATAATTGAATTTTTGAAAAAATTTTAAAAAATAAGGGAATTTTTGATAAGAATTTTATTAAAACTGTATTTAAAATAATTGAATTCCTGTGAAAAATTTACTGTTTATTAATATTATTGAATTCTTTCGATGAATTTAACAAAAATGTTTAAAAATAAATTTAATTTTCACTCGAATTCAATTAAAATTGTATTTAAAATAATTGAATCCCAGAGAAAATTTCATTAATTTTTAAAAATAATTAAATTCTTGAATTGGATTTTATTAAAAAAATTTTCAACTAATTGAACTCATGTAAAAAAATTAATTATTTTTTAAAATTAAAATTAATTATTTTTCATTTATTTAATTTTTAATTATTAATTATTTTTTAAAATAATTAAATTTTCTCGAAGAATTTTTAGCAGATAAATGTAAAACTAGCAGTCACAATAAATAATCCACACAGTTAAGTAATAAATAAATTTACTCCACTTTTGTTACAAGTATTTTTAAAAGCAATTTTTTTTTATAAATTATTATAATACACAAAAATATGTTCACCGTAACAGAACTCGACCTAAATTTCTAAAATCCCTAGCACTTAGATTTTCAAATATCTTATCAATAATAATTATCGGCAATTCAATTTTCGAATAGTTTTCAAGTAAACATATCACTGAGTCTTGTATTTGAAGCATATTCCTAACCCTTTCCACTCGCTTCTTCAATAAAAAGAAATAACACGGAAATTCAAGTTGATATTTGTTTAAGTCAAGAATCTCAAGAATTTGTTCGTATCTTGCAGAAATTGTCACCTTCATTAGATCATTCACGAGAAATTCATAGAAAGTTATATTTCTTTCGTTGCAAATTTTCTTTTGCTTCATTTTATCAATTTCCAATTGACATTTACGATAGAAGAAAACTGACATATTTCGATTGCATGAAGTTGCTGGAGACTCTTCGTTCAGATCTGCATCAAGATCGTTGTCATCATCATCATCATTATCATTATTCATATCATTCTTCTCGTCATCGATACTAACTTCAATGTTATTTAATGCCATGAATGCTAATAAAATCTCGGATCTTCTTGTTATAAAATCTGTATAGGAATAACTTGACTCGAGTGGTCGTTCTCGATGTTTATTTAGAGCCGTAACGTCAGCCTGAAAGTGTAATAAGCATTCGATGACGTTCAATTGTTCTTGTTTAACGGCAACGTGAAGGGGGCCTGCACCCGCTGTTGGACTGAATTCTGTGAAAAAAAAATGTTGGAAATTTTAAAATTTTTCAGAAATTATTCAATATTTAGTAAATTCTTCCACAATTATTTTCTAAAATTTTAATAAAATTTGTTTATAAATTTTTTCATCAAAAACAAAATACTCAAAATAACTATTCTTTACATGAGATTTTGGTAAAGGAATTACAGTTTATAACTCTTCGTATATGATTTTGGCCAAAAAATGAGTTACGAACTATTTATTAGCGAAAAAGGTGCATTGCGCCTTCACGGATTTTTGGTAAACCATAAAATTTTGCCAAAGTGGTATTAGTCATAGTCAACTGATTATTATGATATTTATGTTTAAGAAATTCATTGTCATTTAAATTTTTAAGAATTTTATAAGTTCTTGATTGTAATTTGGATAAAACTCCTTTCGTTGAAATTTCTTTAAGTGCGTCGATCGGACAGTAAGTCATGGGCTTGATTTTTTCATACAAACTGAAACATTTCCTTTGTCAGAATTAGTAAAGAAGAGGTCAGGATTTTCTTTAAATAAAAATAAGGTAAGTAGAGGACTCACCTTTCTTATTATAAACATTCACATCAGCTCCATTGTCAACTAAAAATTCAATCATCGGTATGACATCATTAGAATGTAATTTCACAAGATAGTAAAGTGGAGTACGATTAAAGTGATCCAGAGCATTAATATCCAAACCTCGTTGCAATAGAAATTCAACAACATCCAAATTCATTCCAATCACCGCATGATGAATCATCGTCATACCATCGTTATTTCTACTTTGAACATCAGCTCCATAAGAAACTAAAAGTTCAACAATATCCATTCGTCCTGCTTCGCAAGCACGTTGCAAAGGCGTCAATTCATTTCCATTATAACTCTCCTCACTGACCTCAATATCAGCTCCCATTTCAATCAAAAATTTAATTCTCTCTTTATTAAAAACAAGATTCCTTCCCGAGAACAAAGAATTCACGTCAATTGAATTACTCATTGAGAACGATAATCTTTGCCTCAATGAACTACAACCGCAAACCAAGTTCAGAACCGATGAATTCTCCAAAGGTGAGCCGAATTTTGCATTAATATCAGCACCGGCGTGCAAGAGAGTCTCAATTATTTCGTCATTGTCCACAACCAGTGCATAATGAAGTGGTGAATATTTATCGTCACGAGTTGTTTTATTAACATTTGCACCACGACTCAGAAGATAGGAGACAAGACTTGGATTCTTCTTTCTCACTGCATGATGCAAAGCACTAACTCCACACGATCCTTCGGCATTAATATCCGCTCCCATATCCAATAGACACTTTACATGCTGATATTTGTCTAGTTGAATAGCCCAGTGGAGTAGTGTGTGTCCAAAGGAACATTGCGCGTCTAAATTAAAAACACAATTTCTCAATGTCTCCTGAAATATCTCCTCACTTCCATTCCGTAGCAAAAATAATAATAAAATCGAAAATTTTATCGCCGAACATTCAATTTCTTTACTCAAGAGAAATTCAACAATTTTCCAACATTTTTCTCCATTATCGATAAGTTTGAGATTGCCGTCTATCTGAAATTGGATGAACATTTTATTTAAAATTAAACAAACGGTATCTATTGAACCATATTGTAGGGCGTGTTGAAGTAATGTCTTTCCTTGTGATACAACATTAATTCGGGCTCTATTGTTGAGTAAAAATTCCACCATTTCGGTATTGCATTCAACGGCACGATAAAGTGGTGTTCTTTGTACAATATCTGGAGCATTAATATTGGCAAAAAGATAAAGTATATGTTTTGCAATGGCAGGAGTGCCAAAACGTGCGACATGATGAAGTAATGTTTCCTTTGTACATGGATCTTGGTAGAGAACAATTTGTGGACATATTTGTAATTTTTTCATAACAAGTGATTCATCTTTGTTTTGAAGATAATTGGTTATGTCTCGATATAAGCTTTTTTGGACTTTCGCAAAACTTTTATACACAGTGTCTGTAAAAGGTTATTTTATACTTTTATGAATATATTCTACTAACTGAATGTAAAAAGTGGGAAGAAGTGTAAAAAAAAAATTATCTTTAGACCACAATTACGGACCGAATAATTATTTTTACGTTAAAATGATATGATATGATAATTCATAAAAAATATGAAAGTAACTATTTGAATTTTTTAGGTTAACAAATTGGATTATAAATGACAAAATTTGACAAAAATAGCGAAACCACGGTAACTCATGCAGCACCCACGGTAATTTCCACATTTACCCTATTGAACAAGATTTTGTCTCATCTTCTAGAACAAAATGTTTCTTTCGATGTTTAAAAAACCCTCTTCATATTGTATATTTTATACTTTCTCACTCAATATAATAAAATTTGAAACACAAAAAAAAAAATAAATAAAAGCTTCATATTGAATAAGATTTTATCAATTGTTTTGGATAGAAAGCCTATCAAAATGAATACTTGTATTTGATTGGATTTGATAGAAAGGAGTTTCTATATTATTCAATAAATTTTCCAAAATAAATCAGTAAAAAACTTAAAACAGTTTGATTTTTAAGGTTATGTCTGGATCTTATGTAGTTTAATTTTTTTAAGAGAAAATTGTAAACATAAATTCAAATTAAAATAAAATTGCTTTATTTTTAATTAAAAATCTCGAAATATTCAATCGAAGATTATTTTCGTTTAGAACGAATTTAAATTTCAATTAAATTCATGCAGTTAATTATGGTCTAAGAATTCAACAATTTTTCTTTACATTTCCTTCCATATTGTGAAAAGTTATAATGAATTTTTTCTTTATATTAATTCACTTCTAATTCGAGATAATTTAAACAAAATTTTAATTTTATATTCAAAAATGATTATAAAAATTAAATGTAAAAATAAAAATTTCTTCAAAAAATTTTTTAAAAAAATGTAAGTACATAAAAAATAAATAAATTTTTAAAAGCAATAAAATAAACAAAAAAATAATAATACCTATATCCATCGAAAAAATGATTCCTTCAAACTATAAACAGAAAATGAAACGTCCCTCTAATGAAAAAATTGTTTCCTGCAATTTACATTAAAATGAAAATTAAAAACAAAAATAATTTTCAAATAACTTTTTTTAATTACATTTTTTTTAATCAGAAATTAAGAAGAAATTCGACTTTATAACATTGCGATTTTTAACTGTATCCAAAATTAACAACAGAATTCGACGAATGCAACATAACCTCAAAATTTATTTAAAAAATACAACACTGCATAAATATATATTAATTATCACTTAGAACTAAAAAAAATAAATAAATAAAATTTACCTCTGCATAATATATTTGTAAAAAACTGTATATTAATAAATATTAAATAAATAAATACGTTGTCAAGAAAGTCACTAAAGGAAAAAAATGCAGTTTTTTGTATGTTATATATTGTAGATTATTATTGTTATTATTACTATTATATATTATATATTGTTATATTGTTTTTGTATATATATTTTTTTTGTGTATAAATAAAATTGTCTGAATTTTAATCTCTTGAGTGTCTTGAGTTAAAAATTCTACAAGGCGAGGAACTCTTCTGCCATTTTTCGAAAGCAGGGATGTGTAGTTAGAAACTACAAAAAAAATTAAGGGTGCGGTCACACTTTTGGAAACATCATTCTTGTCTTTCTCTCTCCTATAAAGGTGCTTCTATACCTCCAGTGGATTGGTCAAGCAATCGGCTTGATGAATTTTCACGGTCGGAAAATTTACTTTCATGGCGGGTATTTTTGAAAAAGTAAATGTTGAAAAGGTTTTTACTTGAAAATTTATTTAAAAATATGATTTTATCATAGAAATTATTTTGAAAGTAATGTTAAAAAACATGTTTTATTTTAAAAGTTATCAAATTTTAATTCAAAATGTTTTAATTTTCCAAAGAAGTGTAAAAAGCCTAATGTTTTTGAAATGCTAGTACAGACGGTACAGACTGTTTGTTATGAATGTACATAACCTAGCGTTGTGTTGTCTGTTCATTATTATTTAATATAATTAAATCATTAAATTTAGAATATAATAATATCACAAGCACGATAACACAACGCTAGGTTATGTACATTCATAACAAACAGTCTGTACCGTCTGTACTAGCATTTCAAAAACATTAGGCTTTTTACACTTCTTTGGAAAATTAAAACATTTTGAATTAAAATTTGATAACTTTTAAAATAAAACATGTTTTTTAACATTACTTTCAAAATAATTTCTATGATAAAATCATATTTTTAAATAAATTTTCAAGTAAAAACCTTTTCAACATTTACTTTTTCAAAAATACCCGCCATGAAAGTACATTTTCCGACCGTGAAAATTCATCAAGCCGATTGCTTGACCAATCCACCGGAGGTATAGAAGCACCTTAACTTGGGCATAAGTTTGTCTCACTCTACATTGCTTTACATTTTCTTACTTTTTTCAAAAAACAGGAAATGTAGACTGAGAAAAATTTATGCCACTGTCATAAGACAGAAAAAGAAGAGAATGGTTCTTTCAAAAGTCGTCGTAGGCGAAAGCAAAATGGCGCCATAAAGGTGCGTCCAAAATACTAGAATACTGATAAGAACAACGAAATTGAACTTTAAGGTTTGTTCACAATAGGCTCTTTACAGGCAACTGCTTATACGTTTTCTGAAATCGTACCATTTCTGCTACAACTTTCTTAGTTCGTGGCTAAATAGACAAATTTGCCATGAACTAATAATAAAATAGAAAGGCTACGCTTTTTAAATTAGTCGTGTAAACAGGAAGGAGAGCATATAAGCAGTTACCTGTAATAACATAAGAAAAAACTATTATTAAAATAACCTTAAGCTTTATTCACTGTTTGATAAACCGCAAATGAATTAATAAACTGTTTCCCCACCCTGACTGAACTCACCTGATTCACATGAACCTTGGTGGCGGCAGCTTGCATCATGGTAGCTTGCAGCTAACTTCATTTATTGTCGGTACTGTCAAAATGGCGGACGGTGATATAGATTTGTACGCCGACGATTTAGAACAAGATTTTGCCCAGGTAATGTGAAATTTACTATTTTTTCCACTTCAATAACTCGTCAAGTGTTAATAAAATCATATCAATTAATATTCAATTTACTCCAAACCTTAAAATTCTGTTTACCGTTGTCGGCGTCGTACGCTTGGAAGCCGCACATTTCTCTTCTCTATCCTTAATCTCATCTATCAATTTTCATTCTAATATTGTAATTCTTATTCACTAACGTGAAATTAATTATCAAATTTCACTTGTCAATTTTTATTCACTTAAATTCTTGAATTAATTAATTAAAAGTGAATAAATTTCCTTTCATTGTTACACTACTTGCTGAATTTGAAAGAAACCACTTTTTATTGATACAAAAATTCACTCTTTCATAATTATCACCTGCAATTGAAATTGCACCTGAAAATTTATAGTTGGAATATGTTTCCCACCTGTTTTTTTTAAGTGAGAGAATTTTCTTTATCTTGATTAAGATCAAACTTGAATTTCTTTCATAATTTTACATGCTCTGGAATTTACTAAATTTGAGGTTATGAAAGTTCTCGATGTCGAGATGGAGGTTATTTTCTTTTTTTTTATTGTATACCTATATATATATATATATATATATATATATCTTGTATATATATATATATATAGATATAAAATAAAATTCGAAAATTAAAAAAAATGTATTTTTTCAAAGAAAATAAACAATGGACTTTGAAAAAAAGATGAAACTTTATGAAAAACAAAAATACTAAAACTTTTTCACTAATTGCAGAAAAAAATTGATTTTATATTTTGAGTAACAAATTTAATTTAAAATAGAAAACTAGAAATTTCGGAAGTGATTATTCCAGACAATTAATTATATAAAAAAATAATAATTATAATTAATAAAACAAAAAAAATAATTGTATATATTTTTTAATTTTTTAGTTTTCGTATTATTAAACAGTAATTAATCAACAAATTTTATCTCTATCTTCTTTATTTCTATTCTATTATAAAATGTTTATATTTTGTTTCTTTTATTTATTATTATTATTTATTTATTTATTTATTATTTTCTTTTTTCCGAAATTATTTTTTTATTTATTATTCAATAATTATTAATGATTATTATTAAAATTATTACTATTATTTATTCCAATTTTTTAAATAATAATATGTTAATATTTCTATCTATTACAAATTTTTGTTTATATTCTCTTGTTTCTTTTATTTATTTATTATTATTATTATTATTAAATTTTTTTTTTATTTTTCCCGAAAGTATTATTTTTTTATTTATTATTTAATAATAATTAATGATCATTATTAAAATTATTATTATTAATCAATCAATCAATCTTTTTCTTTTAATCTTTTACAATTTTGACTTCACACGCAGAGTTTTAATTTAAGTATTTTTTAAAAAATTTCTGTGGTGTGTTATTATAAATGTGTGTCATCATAATGTCCATGTTTATCAGTGTTAATTTATTTATTTAACTATGATGTTAATGTTTATTTATTTATTTATTTATTTATTACAAAATTGATTTTATAATCTTTTAAAGTTATGACTCCAAACTCTATGTTTTCTCTGACGTTTGATGGGTGAATTTATTTTTATTATTTGCTGGCGAATTCTATTATTATTATTACCTATTATTATTTATTGGTATATTTAAAAAAAATTATATTTAATATTTTATAAAGAATTTAAAATTTATTTATTTCCTTATTTATTTCATTAAAATTAAGTAATTATTAAGATATTGTAAAATTAATATTAAATTCGAGGGTAAAAACATTAAAACTCTTAAAAAAACAACAAAAATACAAATAAAAACAAAAGTTTAATTTATAAATTAAAAAAAATAAAATAAACAATTTAATTCCCTTTGATTCAAATAATTCAATTTCGATATTTTATTAGATATTTTTATTGTTTTAATATTTAGTACTTTTTTTAAAAATAAAATATTGCATATTAATTAAAAATTTACAATATTAATATTAAAATTCATTTTACTTTATAGATTTTTTAAGTAAAATAAATAAACAATTTAATTCAATTTTATTCAATTACATTCGAGAATTGGTTATAAATTAAAATTTCCAATTTTTTTTTAGCTCTATTCAACTTGTTATGAGTTTTAATTAAATTAAAATTACACCTAATTGAAAATTAAAAATTATTATTAATTTAATTTTCTAATATTATTATTTTTAATTAAAAATTACACCAAATTAAAATACTAATTACAGCAACTGATTATAATACTAATTAGAAAAACTGATTATAATACTAATTACAAAAACTGATTATAATACTAATTACAAAAACTGATTATAATACTATTTACAAGAACTAATTAGAGTACTAATTATCATAATATTAATTATTATTATCCTAATTACGAATTAGAATTAACAGTAGCAATTATAATTAATTATAGAACTAATTAGAATAACTGTTAAAATTATTAATTAAAATTATCATAATAATTATAATACCAATAGTTTTATAATTCGTTCATAATTTAAAGTTTTATAATTAGTTTATAATTTATAGTTCTATAATTAATTATTATAATTTTGTGAATGTTATAAAAATATTAGAAAGCAATATTTATGTTCCAAATGAAGATATTTCAATAGTTAAGGATTTTCATATCGACCTTCTAAACTTCCCAGATGTAAAAAGAAGTTAAATCGATAAATTTTTATTTTTTATAAAAGCTACATGTAAAAACAAAATAAATTAAAATAATAACAAAGTGGAAATAGTTAATAAGATTCAACGAAACCTCTTTGTATGAACCAATGGTTTAAAACAACAAAATAATATTAATTCGAATGCCCTAATTAAAGTAGAGATATTTTTAACTAATGAAGAATAAAATTTTAAGGATGAATTCGCTGGCGATGGCCTCGATTTATACGATGACGTTATTGCCGCCACTGATCGAGTGTCAATGAGCGAAAAGATTGAGCGACCCGATCGAGAAAGAGATAATCGCTCTCCTAATGATGACGCTAATGATAATTCCGGTTACAATCAACTTGGAAATAATATTCATCCCAATCAAGTCGGTCGACGACATCAATTATACATTGGAAACCTAACATGGGTAATTTAACAAATAAAAAGAGAAAACCGTTTTTTTTAAAGTTTGATTTTTATCTATTTTTCAATTGTAAATATATTTAAAAACAAGATTACAGGTTAGTTAGTTTTTAAGTGTTATTTACACTTAAAAGGTGGATGAAATTTAATCTTCTACTTTTGAATTATTTGAAAGATTTTTATCTTTAAAATAATTAAAAAGTAGATAATAAATCTTGAGACTATTTGAATTTTTTTTAAAATTAAATTATAATGGTTAATTTTTGATTTTAGTGGACAACTGATAAAGACATTCAAGAAGCGATTGTCGCTCTTGGCATTACAGATTTTATTGAAGTGAAATTCTTTGAGAATAGAGCCAATGGACAATCGAAGGGTTTCTCTGTTGTTTCCCTTGGTTCCGATCAGAGTATACAAATGTGTATGGATCGATTACCAAAAACAGAACTTCATGGACAGAATCCTGTTGTTACTTATCCATCGAAACATGCTTTGAATCAGGTAATTTGAAAAGAAACGAAAAGAAAATTGAGAAAAAGAAAGAAATGAAAGAAAATGGAGAAAAAGAAAGAAATGAAAGAAAAAGAAAAAAAAAGTTAAAATATGAAAAAGTATTATGTAATCTTTCGAAAAAATGTTTTGAGCAAATTTTTAAATTTCTTTTGTATTTCAGTTTGAATCTCAGTGTAAAACACGTCCACCGCCGTCGCCGCAACATAATCAAAATCAACGGCCACATAATTCTCATCCCCATCAACCAATGTCGCCTCAACATCATTCGCAGCATCAGCAGCATCCTCCGCATATGCAACAGAATCATGGTCATCGTGGAATGATGATGGGACCCCCGCAGTATGATGTAATATTTTCTTTTCTTAATTATCTTTTTTTAGATTTATTTCTCTTTCTTCTTTTTTCGTCGCAAAAATTCAATTTGTTTTTAAAAATTTATAAAAATCTTTGCAAAAGTTCAATTTACTTTCAAAAAGTTTTTTGCAATTCAATAATTTTCCAAATTTACTATTTTTATAAAATTTATAAACTTTATAAAATTTATCAATAGATTTAATTATAGAAAAAACATTTTTGATACAATTCTTCGAAAAAATTCAATTATTTTCATAAATAATATTTCATTTACGAATTCAAATTATTTTCAAATTCAATGCACAGAATTTTCAAATATTTTTAATACAATTTTAAATAAATTGCTTGAAAAATGCAATTATTATTAAAAAAAAATTTTTTTAAACTTGAAGAAACAATTCAATTTTAAGAAACATTCAATTATTCAATAAAACGATAAAATTCGTTGCAATAATTCAAATATTTTCATAAATAACATTTGATTCCTCGCAGAGAATCAATTATTTTCAAAAAATTTTTAGGTAATTTTGCAAAAGAATTAAATTTAATTAGCTTGTTAAACAACAAAATCGCATAAATTCTTCCCATAAAATCAATTATTCTATAAGGAATTTTAATAAGATTCTTTTCCAAAATTCAATTATTTTGCGATAAATATCAAAATTCATCAGAAGAATTCAATTCTTTTGAAAAGTAATAAAATACTTTGGAGAAATTAAATTATTTTTAAAATTTTTTAAAAATTATCGTCAAGAATTAAATTATCTTTATAAATAGATGGGAAAAAATTCTTAACTCAAGAATTAAATTATTGTCAAAAAATTTTTTAAACATTCTTCTCAAGAAGTCAATTATTTTCAAAAATTGTAATAAAATTCTTCTCATGAATTTGGTTTTATAAAATTTTTTATTTAAATTCTCCTCAGGAATTCAATATTTTTAAAAAAATTTAATAAAATTCTTTAAAATGTTTTTAATTATTTTCAAAAATTGTTATAAAATTCTTTAATATAATAAATTTCATTAAAATTTTAATTAAATTCGACTATTTTCAAATAATGCGACTTTTATCGACTTATATTAAAAAATTGCGACTTTTTCGACTTTTCTTCCAAATTTTGCGACAAAATACCATATTTTTAGTATAAAATGCTGCAACTTTTTTCGATTTTTACGCGCAGTATAAAAAATAGCTGTAGATAAATCTTTCGAAAATTATTTTTGAAAAATTTTTTCGAATTAAATTTTTGAAATATACAATTAAAAAGATTTTGAATAATTGAAATTTAGTAAAATTAATTGAAAATAAATCCTTTTTTTCAAGTATTTTATTATAATTTTTGAAAATTAACTATTTTATAGAATTTTTATTGAAAATTTTGGAAATAATTGAATTTTTAAAAATTTTAATGAATATAATCTTGAAGTGTAAATTCGATAAAAAATAAAAATATTAAAATAGTTTTGAAAAAAGTAATTCTTTAACAAAGTAATTTAAAATTTTTTTAAATTTACTATTTTAGAATTTTTTGAGAAATTATTATTTATAATTAAAATTCATCAAAAATTTAATTTTTTTTTTTTTTTATATTTTTGAAAAACTCAATTATTTATTTGTTTAATAATTTTTTTTTGCAAAATTAAATTATTTTCATGAATTTTAATAAAATTTATGTCTAAATTCCATTTTTTAGGAATTTTTAAAAAAAAATTAATAATTTTAGGGAATCTTATTAAAATTCGAAGCAAAATTAAATTATTTTCATGAATTTTAGTAAAATTTATGTCTAAATTTCATTTTTTAGGAATTTTTAAAAAATTTATTGCAAAATTCAATTATTTTCAGGTATTTTAATAAAAATTGTTGTCTAAATTAAATTTTCAGGAATTAAAAAAAAAATTTATTGAAAAATTCAATTATTTTCATGAATTTTAATAAAACTCTTTGCAAAATTCAATTTTTTTTCTGAAATTTTATTAAAATTCTAATTCATTTATAATTTTAATAAAACTCTTTGAAAAATTCAATTATTTTCAGAAATTTTAATAAAATTTTTGTCTAAATTCAATTTTCAGGAATTTTATTAAAAATTCGTTGCAAAATTCAATTATTTTTATGAATTTTAATAAAATTGTCTAAATCCAATTTTTAGGAATTTTTGAAAAAAATGTATTGCAAATTCAATTATTTTCAGGAATTTTAATAAAAATTTTTGTCGAAATTTAATTTTCAGGATTTTTCTTTTATATTTATTGAAAAATTCAATTATTTTCATGAATTTTAATAAATCTCTTTGCAAAATTCATTTTTTTCTGAAATTTTATTAAAATTCTAATTCATCTATAATTTTAATAAAACTGTTTGCAACATCTTCTCGCTAGCCCACTTCCCTTCCCCTCCGCAAACTTTCTCTCTAAACCAATCGCTCTTTTTCTCTGCCTTACTACCATTTTCTCTCTCTCAACTTCCTCTCTTAGCATGTACCCCGGACAGCTTCGATTTAACCCCATTGTCCATCTTAAATATCTCTCATGCATACTTTCCATACTGCTGACTTCTTTCCAACCCCAAATTTCCACTCCATACCCTAAGACTGACCACACTAGCATATCAAACATCCACACTCTTCTTCTCCAATCATTCTTAAATCTCCTCATACCTATGCTCCACACTTTTCCCATAATCTTTCCTGCCTTTTCCACTCTTCTTTCCGCATTCAAACCTTGTTTCCCGTTAAACTGCAGCCAGTATCCGAGATAACAAAACTCATTCACTTCATCTATGCTACTTCCATTCAACTTCCATACTTCTTTCTCACACTTTCTTCTCTTTCTAAACCTCATCACTTTCGTCTTTCCCACATTTATACATAAGTCTTTATCTCTAACATACTTCTCAAATTCATTCAACATTAATTTCATTCCTCTCTCATCATCTGCCATTAACACCATATCATCCGCGTAGGCTAGCGAGAATACCCTACCATTTCCCAATATTACTCCCCCTTTTCCCCTCTTTGACAACCTCTCTTCTACGTCTGCTATTAGCAGGTTGAACAATATTGGGCTCAATGGGCATCCCTGCCTAAGTCCTCTTCCCAACCAAAATTCTTCTCCCAACTCCTCTCCAATTTTTACTCTTTCCCTTGTGTCTACGTACATTTCCTTAACTCTTTCCACCAAGTCTTCCTCAATTCCTTTTTCTTTTAAAACCTTCCACAGAATTCCCCTGTTTACTGACGGGAACGCCGCCTTAAAATCTACGAAAACCGCAACCAATTTACCCTTATCCCTTCTTAGATTTCTATTTATTAAAAAATTCAATACATAGATATTGTCAATCGTCCCCATTCCTCTTCTGAATCCTGTCTGATTGTCAGGTATGCATCCAAGTTCTCCCACCCTCTTTTCCAACCTCTTCCTCAGAATCTCCGCGTACACCTTGTATCCCACCGGCATCAAGGTGACTCCTCTATATTCATCTACCCTTTTCCCTTCTCCTTTCTTCTTGATTGGTACTATTAGCCCTGTTTTCCACTCCTCAGGCCACCCCTTTCCCTCCCACACCTCATTCACCACTTTACACATTTCCTTTTTAACCCATTCTCCCCCGTATTTTAAACCCTCCCCTTCCAAACCATCCCCCCCTGCCGCCTTTCCTCTTTTTATCCTTCCTATCGCCTCTTCTACCTCCCCCATACTTATTCCTGTACCCTCCTTATTTCCCGTCTGCCTTCTCCTCTAATTCTTTTTTCTATGCCCCCGCTTAAACTTTTAAAATACTCCGTCCATTCCTCTATTTTTATATCCTTATTTATTCCCTCCCACTTTTTTCTTTCCCTATTTATTACATCCCACACCTTACCCTCTGCCACAGCTTTTTCTATTTCCTCCATGTATCTTCTTCTTTCCGCTTCTCTTTTCTCCTTCAACAGCTTTTCATGCATCTTGTGCCTCTTGTTGTACAACTTCTTCTCTATCCATCCTTTTCTCCATGCTCTTATATGCTCTCTCAACTCTTTTCTGCTTCTTTCACATTCTTCATCCCACCAACCCTTTTTATTGCTCTCCTTCGCTCCTTCTGCCTTTATTTCCCCTTTTACCTTCTCGATTATCTCTCTTAACCTTTGAATCCTTTCGTTTACATCCCTAACTGCTTCTTCTCTTGTCGCTCCTTCCTCCTGTATCCTTTCTTCATACTCCCTTAATTGTTCTTGCCCCCAATCCCCCATTTTTATCTTTCTGTTCATTTTTCTTTCTTGCCTCCTTCTATCCCTGCCCTCTACCCCCTCCAACTCCACTATTAGTGGAAAATGCTCCGAACCCACCTCAATCCCTACCTTCATACTGCTGATTATTTCCCTTACCTTTTCTTCTGCCAGAACATAATCGATCACCGTATTTCCCCTTCCTACGTATGTAAATTCACCCTCCTCATCCCCCTTTACATTCCCATTTACAATTGTCCATCCCCTTTCCGCTAATATCCTGAGCATCTTTTTCCCTTCTTTATCTAGCTCACCGTGTTTGGACTTTCTTACGTACTTTTCCTCCTCTTCATCCCATATACTGCCACCTTTTTCTCCCGTCCACGCATTTAAATCCCCCCCAATCAATACTTTCTCGTCCCTTCCCCATTCCATCCAATTTTCTATCACCCCCCATCCCACATCCTCACCTCTTCTCCTATAGATTCCCACAATCGAAATATATTCCTCTCCTTTTTTTACCCTTCTTGCCATACATCCCTCCACCTCCTTGGTTCCTTCCTTCAGACTTTCCTCTTCTATTCCATTTCTTATTCCTGACAACATCCCCCCTGCACTTCTCCCCTTTTTATTATCCCTTTTTGCCCCTTGCATTCTCCATGTAAAATTCTTAGGCAACTTCTTTTTAATTTTATCCCAGTCTTTCTCTTCTACCCACGTCTCACTCAAAAATATTATGTCCCACCCTCCTAATGTTTTCCAAAACCCTTCATCTTTATTTCCCAACCCCGATACGTTCCAAAAAACAACTTTTATCTTCCTATTTAATTCCCCTTCCCTCCCTCTTCTCCCTCCTTCCTCCCCTCTCCTGTTCGCTATTCTCCAAACCCCATTTCTCTTTCCTCTTCTACCACTTCTCCATCCTCTTCTTTAACTATCCACTTCTTCCCATTAATCCATAAACATTCCCTTCCCCATTTTACCCAACTCCCTTTTTCCCTCTCCTCCCTCGCTTTCCTTGCCAAAAGCCACCCAATCCTTCTCTCCCTGTAGGTCTTATCCTCATCAATTTTTACAGGTTTACCCCTTAACTTATTTTTCGCCTTCATTACCTCCCATTTTTCCTCTTCGCTTCCTAACTCTACTATCCATACACTCGGCTTATCCCTGTTTTCACCTCCAGCCCCCCTTATACCCTTTATGTGCACTTCCACTCCAATATCCCTCATTATTTTTTCCACTTCTTCTTTAACCTCACTCTTTTCCACTTCCAACCCCTTTACCACAATCCTTTCTCTTCTTCTTTCTTTCTCAACCCCTTCCATTTTCCTTTCAATTTCCCCTAATCTCTTTTCGATTACGTGCTCGCCTCCTGAAGCACCTTCCTCATCCACACTTTTCCCCCTCTCTTCTTCCCTTTTTTCTATTTTCCCCACCCTTTTTTCGAGATCACTCAATTTTTCTAATTTTTCCTCAATTTTCTTAAATTCTTCCACCTTTTCTTTTTCCCTTTCCTTAAATCCTTCCTCTAATCCGTCTAGTTTATCCCATACCTGTTCTTTCTCTTTTCTCCATTCTTCTTCATGCTTTACCCACATTTCTCTTATTTTCCCCATCTCCCCCCATACCTTCTCCATTTTTTCATTCATCCTCCTGCTTCTATCTTCTTCCTTTTTTCTACCCTCTCTCATCTCTTTCCTTAATTCGTCTAATTTTCGATTCGAATCCTCGCCCATTTTCCTGATCATGTTAAGCACCGCGGTTAGTTCCTCTTTAGCTTCCTCATCATCTGTTTTATCCTTATCCTGCTTTTCCTCTTTATCACCCCCCCTTTTATCCCCCTTTAAAAAATCCCCCATCATTTTTCTCGAACTTCTACTCACCGATCTTTCCCTTCTATCTTTGCTTGACGGCCTTCCTACTGGTCTTTTAGAACTCTCGCCCAGCAAGTCTACAGCACTAGCGTATGTCTTGCTTGCTTTATCTTTCCGTGAATCTACCCGCCTGCTATCTCTCTCTCTTGGGTCTGAGTCTGACTTCTCCCTCCTTGTCACCGTTGCGCTACTACTGTCACTTGTTTCACCGCTATTCAAATTTTCCACTTTCTCTTCACTTTCTGAATTATGTCGCCCTCTGTTGGACTTCCTAGGAGCATTGGGAGAGATAGGAGAGAGGGAGGAAAGCGTTGAGAAAATAATTGGGAAGTGGAATAAGAAGGACAGGGAAAATAGATGGAAAAAGATTAGAGAGTCCAGATATAATAGGTGGTACAAAATGGTCAAGGAAGAAGGGTTGCCGAAATATTTAGTGAAAATAAGGGATGAAAGGAAAAGGAATAGAGTGTTAAGGTTCAGAATGGGAGAGGGAATGAATGAGTGTAAGTATTGGATGAGTGAGGATGAAAGATTGTGTAGAGTGTGTAAATTTGAAATTGAGGACTGGGAGCATGTGTTGGATAGATGTGGAAGAGAGGAAGGATATGAGGAAAGAAGTATAAGTGAACGGGTATGTATGGTGTTAAGTGGAAATGGGGAGGGAGAGAAATGGATGAAAGAAATAGAAAAAACTAGAGCGAGGGTGGGAACGTAGAAATAATTCTTAGTTTTATAATTGACGAAGCCAAATTGGGCACAAAGAAGCTGGAAACGGAAACCCAGGCACTTGGCAGATAGATTTAGTTTTTATATTAGGTTAAGGTTAAAATGTTAGAATTGTAAGTTATCTTTAAGGTTTTTTTTGTATTGGAAGTTTTGCCTCGAACCCTGCGGCTTGTGCAGGGAGAGAGTAATAAATAAAAAAAAAAAAAAAAAAAAAAAAAAAAAAAAAAAAAATAAAACTGTTTGCAAAATTCAATTATTTTCAGAAATTTTATTAGAACTTTTGCCAAATTTAATTATTTTAAGGAATTTAATTGAAATTCATTGCAAATTTTAATTATTTTTCAAAGATTTTACTAAATTTAAATTATTCTTTAAAAAGATTTTACCAAATTTCAATTATTAAAAAAAATTTTTTATTGTTATGTAATTGTAAAACTATTGCGTCTTTCAAAAATTATTTAGAAATATTTTTAAAAAGTTAATTTTACGAATTTATTTTTTAAAATTTTTGAATATATTCTACCTTAATATCTTTAAAAAGAAAAATGAACGGTTTCAATTATTATAAAAAATTGAATTTTTGTATTTTAACAATTAAATTTTATTTCCCGGTGAAAAAAGAAATAAGAAGTATTTAAATATTTTATTTAGCAAAATTATACAAGTTCTGATTAATTGAATTTAGAAATCAGTGAAGAATCAGGGAAATAGAAAATAGAATATTTGTGACAACACTAAATTAAATTAACGACTTTTTCGACTTTTTTTCTATTTTTAATCAACTGAAGCGACTTTTTTTTGTTTGTTAAAGTCGATCCGAGGCCTGTTTTTTGTACTTTTAACTAACAATTCTGTAGAATTAATTTTCTTTTTTTTCAAAAAAAGAGTTAGTATATTTTATTAAAAAGATAATTTGTATTAAAAATTAGGGACCAAGACAAGGTCAAAGAATTCCTCCGCCGGGAATGGGCCCACCTGGCCCCGGCGGTCCACCCCAAGGCCCACCGCGTATGCACGGACCACCCATGGGTCCTGGTCCAGGTCCTCATCATCCTATGCAAGGACATCCGAATCAAGGTCCACCGCCTCCTGGTTATCAGCAGGGACCTTGGAATGGTCCACGACCTAATGGGCCAAGAGGTCCAAATGGTCCCGGACAACAAGGAATGCCCGGTCCCGGACCCGGCCAACGTCCACCACCCGGAATGGTCAACGAATTCGTAAGTTTCACCTCAATGTTTTCTTTGAAAATAATACTCAAAGTGAAACTTTCAATTTAAAAAATAAAAATTTAAAAAAAAAAATTTTTTTTTAAATTTTAAAATAGAAAAATTTTAAAATAGAAAATTTAAAAAAAAAGTAAACTTTTAAAAAAAGAAAAATTTTAAAACAGTAAAATTATAAAAAAAGAAAAATTTAAAAACAGAAAAACTTTAAATTAAAATAGAAAAATTTTAAAATGGAAAAATTTTAAAACAGTAAAATTTAAAAAAAAGAAAAATTTTAAAACAGAAAAACTTTAAAATAGAAAAATTTTTAAAAATAGAAATTTAAAATAAAAACATTTAAAAAAAAGAAAGAAAATTAAAAAAAAGGAAAAGTTAACAAATTTAAAAAAGAAGGAAAAATAAGAAAACTTTGACAAAGAAGGAAATAGCAAACAGTCTGTGATAGTAACTTTCGACTGATTTTAAAACTTTATTATCTTTATTTTGTTAGTTCCTCTCGGGAATAATTTGTTGAATTAATTTATAATTAATAGTTAAATTACCAAAGAAATTAAAATTTTTAAATTGATAAATTTATTCATTTTTGACAGTTTGGTAATAAAAATTGATAATTGTTTGTTGAATTGGATTAATTATTGTTATTCACCAACAATAATCAATCAATAATAATTGTACAAAAAAGTTGCCGCAACTCCTATTATCATTATCTTGATTCTATTTTCTCGTTATTATTTTCATTGACACTCAATTATTAAGGTTCGTCTATATTTTTCACTATATTTAAGATTTAAATCTTCCATAAAATTATTTTTATATAATAATTTTTTGAAAGAAATTTAAAGGTCGTAAAATTATAAATCGGTCGAAAAATATTTTGATCCACTAGAAATTTCTATATTTTCCTTAAAAATTGATAGATTTTATTTGTAATTTTCTAGAAAATATGTTTTTGTATCCACTAAAAAATTGTTGAATGAAAAAAATTTATTTTTACTATTTTTGAAGAATTATTTTTTGAAAAAGAACGCTTTTAGGTTGACAACGCTAAAAAAAATACCATATTTTTATTTAATTTATTTTATTTGGAAATTCGTTTCTTTATTTTTTTAACTATGGTAATTTTTTTTTATCGTTTTCAAACGTTTTTTTCAAAAGAATGCTTTTTAAAAATAGTAAAAATAAATTTTTTCATTCGCCAATATTTTTGTGGATACAAAAACATATTTTCTACAAAATTACATATGGATTTTAAAATATAAAGACTTGTAAGAAAAATGAAAATTCGAAAAAGGACAAAATATTTTCTGACCTTTGAATTCCCTTCAAAAAATGACTGTAAAAATAATTTTATGGAAGATATAAATCATTTTCTTGATATTTTTTATTAATAATTGGACAAGTTCATTAAAGCTTTAGGTCTTTATGTATAATTTTTTTTTTACATTTTCATCACACGAGAAGTAAAGGTATTATTTTGTATTAATTTACGAAAATGTATAAGATTTTTAATAATTGGAAGCTTTAACATTAAGAAATGTTACAAATATTACTTGATGTATCTAATAAATATGCTTTCTACCGTTAACCTACGTTAGTCCGCACAGATATATTTATGTATTTTTTTTACAAATTTTACAAACTTTTTGAAATTTATCAAAAAATTTTATGAAAATTATTTTCAATAATTTTTACTTAATTCTTAAGCGAATTGTTCATTGTATTTTCAAAAAATGCAACTTTCTTCCATTATTTAAAAAAAAGCGACTTTTTTCGACTTATTTTCAAAAATTTTTTCGAAATATACAATTAACAAGATTTTGAAAAAATGAAATTTTTGTAAAGTTTATTTGAAAAAAAATGACTTTTTTTCAAGTAGGTATTTTATTACAACTTTTGAAGAATTTTATTTGTAAATTTTGAAAATAATTAAATTCTCAAAAATTTAAATAAAAAAATCTTATGAATTTCAAAATGAAAATTAATGAAAATTTTATTACAACTTTTTGAAGAATTTAAAATTGTAAATTTTGGAAAATAATTAAATTCTCAAAAATTTGAATAAAAAAATCCTATAAATTTAAATATGAAAATTAATAAAAATTTTATTATAAAGAATTTCATTATTTTCAATACTTTTAATTACATATTTCCGAAAATTCAAATACTTGGAAAAATAATAACTTTCAAATTTTTTAGAATTATTATTTTTAACATTATGGAAAAAATTATTTTCAAAATTTTTCGAAAATTTTGTTTTTTTTTAATTATTGAAAAGTTCTTTAAAACAATTTAATTATTATCAGAAATTAATTTCTTAATTTTTTTTTATATTTTTCAAAAATTCCAATTATTTTTGAAAGATTTGATCAAATTTCAATTGTTTGACAATTTTTCAATTTTATATAATTGAAAAATTATTATCTCTGAAAAAACTGTATTAAAATATTTTTAAAAAATTTATTTTATAAATTTCTTTATTATTACTTGAAAAAAACTCATTTTCCAAGTATTTTCCGCCTAAAAATTATGTAAAATTATTTAAATAATTTCTACCGACTTTTTGTTTAATTTTAATATTAAATGAAAATATAAACGAAGTGAAATTAAGAAAAAGTGCGTATTTCAAATTTTAGAAAATTTCTGAAATAATTTTCACCCTCAAAAAAAAATTCTTAAACAATGTCAAATATTTTTTTCTCTTTAAAAATTATTTATAGTTGGTAGAACCTGTGCGGATTGAATAAAAATTATTCGAAATTCATTCAAATTTGTTGCGTGGGATTTACAATGAGAATAAGATTGCTGATAGGCAGAATGCAGGCAGATTTTTAATAATTTTTTAAACATTTATATATATATATATATATATATATATATTCGAAAAGAAATTCATTATTTTGTAAGCGATATTTTGTAAAATTTAATTATAGTAATTTATTGAATTGAATTTGTATTAGAAATAGAACAAAAATTCTAGATTCTAAGTTCTCAGAGTTTTTATTATTATAATAAATATATGTCATGTAAAATTGTTAAAAAAAAATCTCGAAATTGTTCAATAAGTTAAAATAATCCATTGATTATTCTAATTTATTATTTAAAAAAAAATTGTAAAAAGCAAAATCACGAGATTTGAAAGAAAGAGTTAAAGTTTGGTATCATGTGATTATATGTATATAAAAATTATAATTGTGAAAATTGACTAAAATTTAATAAATAAATTTAAAAACAAATTGTTTCGTGTTTTTGTAAAAAAAAATGGTATTTTGGGTAGATAATGAATAAATCGAGAATTTTTTAAAGAATTAAATTTTTCGGAAATAGGGAAAGTTACTTACTTTGAATATCAAGAATTGAAGATTGTGATCAGTAAGTACATTTTTTTTGAATCTAAATTCTAATTTGTTTTTTAAAAAGTAATTCAATAGTTTTTAATTTGTTATTTAAATTTATTTATTGAATTGTAACAATTTATTTATTGGTACTGATATTATTATTGATAATATTTTAAAATTATAATTATATTATATAATTTTATTTTAATATTTTTGAACAGTGGGGATAAAATTTGTTTGGGGGTAATTTTAGTTTAATGAAAGCGATGCTCAGATGACTTACAAACTGGAATAGTAAAATTGTGAACTACTGCTTAGTAGGTTCTTTGTTAATGGTTTTATTTTTCAATAGCAGTTTCATGGAGGTCCACCGGGACCTATGAATCAGGGACCACCTCGAGGCCCACCTGGACATCCTGGCCCGCCCGGTGAACTTAGAGGAGCTCCTCCTAGAGGCGCTGAGTGGAATCGTCCTCCAGGTTTGTACGATTCTCATCAATGATCGGATAATTCTATTGAGAGAAATACTCACTTGAAACCGAAAATCGCGAATATTTTGATAAAATAATTTACATTGACGAAGAAAATTCCTCTTGTGCTTAAATTCGGAATAAATGGAAAATATCGTATTTTTTTGAAAATGGTTTTCTCGAAGGGAATGGTGGAAAATTTAAATTAATGTGTTGAATAGGAATGATGCCAGGACCTGGAGGAATGCCACCGGGACATGGAATACCACCTCAAGGGCCACCGGGACCACCGGGGGGACCAGCACCACATGTAAATCCCGCTTTCTTCCAACAGGGTCCTTCACATCAGGGTCCACCTGGACCACCACATGGACCAGCGCATGGACCTGCTCCTCACAATTACGGTCCTCCTGCGCAGGTATTTATCTTTTTTTCCGAGTTTACGATCTTAAAGACTTTTAGTAGAGAAGCCAATTTCAAATTTTATAATATTTCAATTATGAATGAATTTAATTAAAACTATTAAAGAACTTCAGTTTTTGAAAAATTTTAATAATTCAAATTCTTCTGAAATTAGTTCAATTTTTTCATATCTATTTAATTAATTACAAAAAAAAAATGGATTTATAGAAGAATTTTATTTAAAAATACTTAAACAAAAAAAATGAAGTTTGGAGAAGTTACAAATGATTGCAGAAATTCAATTAATTTCAAAAGTAATAAAATTCTAGGTAGAGTTCAAAAAATTTTTTAAATTCTCGTCAAAATGTCAATTACCTTTGTAAATAATAAAATTCTTCTCTAAAATTCAATTATTTTCAAAAATTTTAATAAAATTCTTGGGAAAATTTCAATTATTTTCAAAAATTTTCAACATTTCAAAAAAACAATTCATAATAAAATTCTACGTAATTTAATTAATTAATTATTTCCATAAATAATAAAAATTTCACGATAATTTAATTATTTTCAAATTTTTTATAAATTTCTTGGCAATAATTCAATTATTTTCATAAATAGTAAAATTCATCGCAGAAATTCAATTATTTTTAATCAAATTTTAATCGAATTCCTTAAAAAATGTAAATATTCTTAAAAATTTTATTACAATTCGTGGAAAGAATTTAATTATTTAAAAATTTGTTAATAAAATTCTTTATGAGAATTCAATTTCTAGAAGTAAAGCATTATTCAATAAATTATTTATTTTCATATTTATGTAATTGAATTCTCGTAAGAATTTTCTAATAAAAAGTCATTTCAAAATGAATTTCAATTAAAATTATTATTATTTTATTACATAATAATCAAGATAATCTGTCCTCACGTGAAGTTAGTGTTTTTTTGATTCCAAACTGTTTTATAGTTTAAATTGTTATATCGAAAGTTTGACAGTTAATTTGTAAATAATAAAATAAGTGAAGTAAGAAAATTTAACCCAAATTTCAAAATCTCAATAAAGAGGTACAGTTGCAATTCGGTTTTTTGGATTTTTGATAATTTTCGATAATTTTGGATTTTTTACCAAGGAGTCGAGACTATTAAATAAGTAAAGTATTTTCCAAGAGCACAAAAATAATGAAGCTAAATCCCATAAAAGAGGAAAGAAAATGTTGAATTTTAAGACATTCGGTTTTTTGAATTTTTGATAATTTTCGATAATTTTGGATTTTTTACCAAAAAGTCGAGACTATTAAATAAGTAAAGTATTTTCCAAGAGCACAAAAATAATGAAGCTAAATCCCATAAAAGAGGAAAGAAAATGTTGAATTTTAAGAAATTCGGTTTTTTGAATTTTTGATAATTTTCGATAATTTTGGATTTTTTACCAAAAAGTCGAGACTATTAAATAAGTAAAGTATTTTCTAAAAGCACAAAAATAATGAAGCTAAATCCAATAAAAAAGATAAAAAAATGTTGAATTTTAAGAAATTCGTATTTTTTAATTTTTGATAATTTTCGATAATTTTGGATTTTTTACCAAGGAGTCGAGAGTATTAAATAAGTAAAGTATTTTCCAAGAGCACAAAAATAATGAAGCTAAATCCCATAAAAGAGGAAAGAAAATGTTGAATTTTAAGAAATTCGGTTTTTTGGATTTTTGATAATTTTCGATAATTTTGGATTTTTTACCAAGGAGTCGAGACTATTAAATAAGTAAAGTATTTTCCAAGAGCACAAAAATAATGAAGCTAAATCCCATAAAAGAGGAAAGAAAATGTTGAATTTTAAGACATTCGGTTTTTTGAATTTTTGATAATTTTCGATAATTTTGGATTTTTTACCAAAAAGTCGAGACTATTAAATAAGTAAAGTATTTTCCAAGAGCACAAAAATAATGAAGCTAAATCCCATAAAAGAGGAAAGAAAATGTTGAATTTTAAGAAATTCGGTTTTTTGAATTTTTGATAATTTTCGATAATTTTGGATTTTTTACCAAAAAGTCGAGACTATTAAATAAGTAAAGTATTTTCTAAAAGCACAAAAATAATGAAGCTAAATCCAATAAAAAAGATAAAAAAATGTTGAATTTTAAGAAATTCGTATTTTTTAATTTTTGATAATTTTCGATAATTTTGGATTTTTTACCAAGGAGTCGAGACAATTAAATAAGTAAAGTATTTTCCAAGAGCACAAAAATAATGAAGCTAAATCCCGTAAAAGAGGAAAGAAAATGTTGAATTTTAAGAAATTCGGTTTTTTGAATTTTTGATAATTTTCGATAATTTTGGATTTTTTACCAAAAAGTCGAGACTATTAAATAAGTAAAGTATTTTCTAAAAGAGCACAAAAATAATGAAGCTAAATCCAATAAAAAAGATAAAAAAATGTTGAATTTTAAGAAATTCGTATTTTTTAATTTTTGATAATTTTCGATAATTTTGGATTTTTTACCAAGGAGTCGAGACAATTAAATAAGTAAAGTATTTTCCAAGAGCACAAAAATAATGAAGCTAAATCCCGTAAAAGAGGAAAGAAAATGTTGAATTTTAAGAAATTCGGTTTTTTGAATTTTTGATAATTTTCGATAATTTTGGATTTTTTACCAAAAAGTCGAGACTATTAAATAAGTAAAGTATTTTCTAAAAGAGCACAAAAATAATGAAGCTAAATCCAATAAAAAAGATAAAAAAATGTTGAATTTTAAGAAATTCGTATTTTTTAATTTTTGATAATTTTCGATAATTTTGGATTTTTTACCAAAGAGTCGAGAGTATTAAATAAGTAAAGTATTTTCCAAGAGCACAAAAATAATGAAGCTAAATCCCATAAAAGAGGAAAGAAAATGTTGAATTTTAAGAAATTCGGTTTTTTGAATTTTTGATAATTTTCGATAATTTTGGATTTTTTACCAAGGAGTCGAGACTATTAAATAAGTAAAGTATTTTCTAAAAGCACAAAAATAATGAAGCTAAATCCCATAAAAGAGGAAAAAAATGTTGAATTTTAAGAAATTCGGTTTTTTGAATTTTTGATAATTTTCGATAATTTTGGATTTTTTACCAAGGAGTCGAGACTATTAAATAAGTAAAGCATTTCCAAGAGCACAAAAATAATGAAGCTAAATCGCTAAATGTCATAAAAGAGGAAAAAAAATGTTGAATTTTAAGAAATTCGGTTTTTTTTAATTTTTGATAATTTTCGATAATTTTGGATTTTTTACTAAGGAGTCGAGACTATTAAATAAGTAAAGCATTTCCTAGAGCACAAAAATAATGAAGCTAAATGTCATAAAAGAGGAAAAAAAATGTTGAATTTTAAGAAATTTGGTTTTTTTTAATTTTTGATAATTTTCGATAATTTTGGATTTTTTACCAAGGAGTCGAGACTATTAAATAAGTAAAGTATTTTCTAAAAGCACAAAAATAATGAAGCTAAATCCCATAAAAGAGGAAAGAAAATGTTGAATTTTAAGAAATTCGGTTTTTTGAATTTTTGATAATTTTCGATAATTTTGGATTTTTTACCAAAAAGTCGAGACTATTAAATAAGTAAAGTATTTTCTAAAAGCACAAAAATAATGAAGCTAAGTCCAATAAAAGAAATGAAAAAATGTTGAATTTTAAGAAATTCGGATTTTTGAATTTTTGACAATTTTCGATAATTTTGGATTTTTTACCAAAGAGTGGAGACTATTAAATAAGTTTTTAATTTATTTGATTGAAATAAATTTTATATTTTAATGAATTTTATTGGTTTACTTTTAAAAATTATTTTGAAATATAATTGTATTTTTGAAGAATTCTAATTGAAAATTTGGAAAAAAAATTGAATTTTAAAAAAGTTTAGAATTAACTTAATATTACAAGGATTGTACCAGAAGAATTTGAAAAAGTTTAATTAATTATTTAATCAAAATTCAAATTAGAACATATTTTTTTTTTGAGTATCTAATAATTTTTAGAGTGAATTGAAATAATTCTTTAGGGTCAGGGAAAAGTGTGTAAATTTTGTCTGAAAATCAGGAAAAAGTCAGGGAAAAACCAAATTAAATTTTGGTGGCAAACCTGGAAAAATACAGTTATTAGGTTTTTATTTTTGACAGCAGAGCTTTTAGGGACAATGTTTAGAAACATTAGGGCCAAGGTTGTAGTTTTTTAAGAAGAAAAAAAGAATAAATGAAAGTGTAATTTATTTATTATAATTTTAGGCACCTTACGGAGCACCTGGAGCGGATCATCGTGCGGAGGCCCACTCAACGCTTTCTGAACTCGAATTTGAGGAAATAATGGGACGCAATCGAACCGTTTCGTCGTCGGCAATTGCGAGAGCTGTCTCCGACGCTGCTGCCGGAGAGTACGCGAGTGCAATTGAAACACTCGTCACTGCTATATCGTTAATAAAACAATCGAAAGTCGCTGGTGACGATCGATGCAAAATTCTCATCAGTTCACTTCAAGATACATTGCGCGGCATTGAAACAAAAAGCTACGGCTCTGCAAGAAGAGGTAAATAATTTTTAATTTTAATATTTATGTGTTTTCTGGTTTTTCTTAAATTTATATTTTAATTTTTCTATTTATGTATTTCTTGATTCTTATTTTTATATTAAATATATATTAGTTTTTTTTTATTTGCCTTATTTTTCATATTTATGTATTTTTTAAAATACTTTTTTTTTCGCAGATCGTTCGCGTTCACGAGACCGTGATCGAAATCATAGACGACGTCGCGAGAGATCAAGATCAAGGGATCGAGAATATAGAGAACGAAGTCGAGATAGAGATCGAGACAGGGATCGCGAGAGGGAGAGAGAGCGCGAGAAGGAGAGATATTATAATGAAGGCTATCCCAGAGAAAGATCTCGAAGTCGTGAGAGGGAACGTGAACGCGAGAGGGAATATCGAGAACGAAGTCGGGAAGAAAGGTATGATTTCTAAATTTTCATTTAAATATAATTAAATAAACAATCTCTGATTTTTATTTTTTTTTTTTAAATAACTTTTTTTTTAATGAGAAATAAATTAAATTTTCTAATATTTTCCTTTTTATAGTTCAACGAGACAGGGATCATCTAGAGTGAGGCCAAAGGAAGAACCCACTGAAACACCAGCCGTTTCGTCTTCTAAGTCATCATCTAGGTGTGTATTTCATTTATGATTAAAATCAGTGAATCAAAAATTGTTTAAATCAATAATGATTTATCAATGAATCAATCTTAAATTTTTACTAAAATTAATTTTTTAATCAATTTTTAAAAGCTCATTTTTCGAGAATTCAAAATTTAAATACAAAAATAAATAATTTATTGAAAATCATTGAATTGAGGAAATTTTTTGGAAAATAATTGAATTTTTGACAAAAATTTTATCTAAAGTTAATTTAAAAATAATTGAATTTCGGAGATGAATTTTATTATTTATAAAAATATTTGAAATTTTGATCAGAATTTTTTTAAATCTTTGAAATGAATTGAATTTCCACGTAGAATTTTATTAGTTTCGAAAATAATTGGATTTCCGCGTAGAATTTTATTAGTTTCGAAAATAATTGAATTTCTGCAATCTCCAAAATTCAATTTTTTTAAAAATGAATTAACTAAAAATTGAATGTTTCTTAAAATTGAATTCTCGTAAAGGATTTTATCAACAAATTTTTAATTAATTGAATTCTTTTGACGAATTTCAATAAAATTTTTTAAAAATAATTACATTTTTCGATAAATTCGATTAAAATTATATTAAAAATAATTGAAATTAAAAAAAAATTAATTTTACAGAATTGTCAGTTAAATGTTAGTTCAATTATTTCTAAAAATTGAGGCGACAATGTTTTCAATATTTAATTATTATCTAAAACTTTAACTGAAATTAATTTTTAAATAAATTTTTATTAGAAAATTCTACGAGAATTCAATTATTTAAATACAAAAATAAACAATTTACTTAATGTATCTTAATATTAAATTCTTTCGACGAATTTCAACGAAATTTTTAAGAATAGTGGCATTTTTCGAAGAATTCGTTTAAAATTCTATTAAAAATAATTGAATTTCTAAAAAGAATTTTATTATTTAAAAAAAGGAAATTGAATTCTCGATAAGAATTTCATACAATTTTTTGAAATAATTGAATTACAGTGAAAAATTGAATTACTTGTAAAAATAATTAAATTCTTGGGAAGAATATTCTTATTTATGAAAATAATTGAATTTTGAAATGAATTTTATTAAAATTCCAGAAAATAATTGAATTTCTTTGAAGAATTTTGCTGTTCATTTAAAAAGATAATTGAAATGTTGTAAATTTTTTTTTCAGAATTTTTGAAAATAATTGAATTTTTGCAAAGAATCTTATTAATTTTGAAAATAATTGAATTCTTGTAATGAATAATGTTATTTATGAAAATAATTGAATTTTGCAATGAATTTTATTAAAATTCCGGAAAATAATTGAATTTCTTTGAAGAATTTTACCATTTATTTAAAAAGATAATTGAAATGATGACAATTTTTTTAGCACTTTTGAAAATAATTTAATTTCTGCAAAGAATCTTATTAATTTTGAAAATAATTAAATTCTCGTGATGAATATTCTTATTTATGAAAATAATTGAATTTTGCAATGACTTAATTATTAAAATTCCGGAAAATAATTGAATTTTGCTATTCATTTAAAAAGATAATTGAAATGATGACAATTTTTCTAGCACTTTTGAAAATAATTGAATTTCTGGGAAAAATTTTATTAATTTTGAAAATAATTGAATTTTTGTTATGAATATTGTTATTTATGAAAATAATTAAATTTTGCAAAAAGAATTTTATTAAAATTCCTGAAAATAATTAAATTTTTGCGAAGAATTTTGTTATTTATCAAGATAATTGAATTCTTTCGAAGAATTGCATTTCAAATTTTGTAATTTAATTAAATATCATTGAAAAAAATTCAACTAATTTCAACAGAATTGAAATTAAAATTTTTCAAAAAAATCAGTTTCACAGAATTCTTAATTAAAAATATTAAAAATTCAGATTTTGCAAAATTGTAACTTGAAATCTTTAAAAAATTCAATTATTTCTAAAAATTTATACTATGATGCTTTCAATATCCAATTGTTATCTATAATTTTAAGTGAAATTCTTTTTTAAATCACTTTTTATTGGAAAATTCTACGAGAATTTAATTATTTACATACGAAAAAAATAATTTATTGAAAAATTTAATATTTCTTAGAATTGATTTCTCATAAGAAAAACTTTATCTTTAACGAAGATGTTTACAAAAAATTTTTTTAAATAATTGAATTCTTTCGGAAAATTTTATTAAAATAGTATAAATATTGAAAATCATTGAATTGTGGAAAATTTTTCAAGATAATTGAAATTTTGCAAAGAATTTTATTGTAATTTTTGAAAATAATTGAATTATTGCAAAGAAATTTATAAAAAATTTGTAAATAATTGAATTCCTTGTGAAATTTTTATTATTTATGAAAATAATAAAATATTTGCGAAGAATTTAACAAAAATTTTTTTTTTAAATAATTGAATTTTGGTGAAGAATTTTATTAATTTAAAAGATAATTGAAATTTTATTATTTATGAAAATAATTAAATTCCTGTGAAATTTTTATTATTTACGAAAATAATTAAATGTTTGAGTAGGATTTGAATTTTTTTTAAATAATTGATTTTTTTTTAGAATTTTATTAAAATAGTAGATATTGAAAATTAATGAATTGAGGGAATTTCTTGAAAATAATTGAATTTGATAATAACATTTTTTAAGAATAATTACATTTTTCGAGGAATTCGATTAAAATTTGTTTTAAAAATAATTGAAATTCTGCGTTGAAATTTAATATTTATGAAGATAATTCAATTACTGCAAAGAAATTTATAAAAAAAATTTGTAAATTTGCCTTTTTGGTTGCAAAAAATAAGGGAGGGAATAATGGGTCATTTTATAAAAATAAAATTATCAAAAAATTGATTATTACAATAAAATAAATAGAATATTAAAAATTTTCAGATATTACGATGAGCGTTACAGAGAACGTGACAGGGAAAGGGGGGAACGTGAGCGAGAGAGAGAAACGACATCGCGACGACCAACAGAAAGAGAACGTGAACCTGAACGTGAAAGAGAAAGAGAACGCGAACGGCGAGAAGACGATACTACGCATCGTTCAAGGCATTGAAAAATCGCAAATTTTACCGCGATTTTATTATTATTATTATTATTTTTTTAATGAAAAAAGCATTTAAAAAGAAAAACACATTTTTATCCATTTTTGAGCGTTATTTTATATATTACGCGTAACAATTATATAATTTACGATACTTTTCATTAAAAGTAAGTGTGACAGAACAAAGGTAAATTTTTCTAATGCATTTTTCAAAAATAATACTTGAATGATCGTTTTTAAGGATTCTCGCAATTCTTTAATATTTATAAGACATTAATTTGTTTTTCCTCCAAATGTGTAGGTATTATTAAGGTTATATATATATTTATAGTTATTATAAATATATATATACACACAAAAATATATAAATATACATTTATATAAATATATTGTAATCCCGATATCAGTCGGGAAAATAAATATTTGTTTTATGCGCCGTTGAACAGTTGGAAAAGTGAGAAAAAAAGGAAATTTTTTATCCAGAAAAAAAGAAAACTCGTCTACGACGCAAGATTGTATCTCAAGATAATATAAATAATGGCACCAAAAAAAAAAAATATGAAAAAATCCATTATTTTAATTTTTATTCATATGTAGCTAAGAAACATCCTTAATTTTCTTAAATCAAGAAAAAACGAAAATGTGTTTGTTTCGTTTTTCTTTTTAATTTTTTTTCTTGTTGCGAGAGAATATTTATGAGCGCAATTTTTATCTTTTTTTTTTAAACTCCGAAAGTGTAAAAAAATTGTGTTTTCTTTGAAAAACTCGGAATTTCTATATTTTTTTATTACACTTTGACTCTGTGAGAAATTGAAAAATTTTTTTTTTATTCGATTCTCGATGTTTTTCAAAGATTTTTTTTTTATCCGCTCAACATGTAACGAATTTATAGTACAAAATATTTTTTAACAAAAAAAAAGAAAAGAAAAAGAAGTGTTTTGAAAAATATGAGAATAATACTTGTGGGAAAAATTCTTTTTTACTCGATTCTCATATTTTTTTGATGAACTTGTTGTTTTTAACGATAAAAAAAAATAATAAAAATAGTAATTATAAATATGAATAATTATAAAAGTATAATATTGATATAGTAGTTATATTAATGATAGTAATAACAATAATAATAAGAATAATAATAATTATAAATTTTCAGAAGTTTAAAAACTTGCCAAAAGTAAGTTGATGATTATAGATTTGTTTTAGAATCTACGTATTGGAAGACAAGAAGAAACTTAATAAACGATTATCCATCTAAAGAAAGATTTCTTATTATTGCGGATTATCTTTTCAAAGGTTGCCACAGGTCAGAAAATTCAGGGAAAGAGTCAGGAATTTAAAAAAAAATGTTAACGCAATTCTTTGAAAGAATTCAAGCATCTTAATAAATATTGGCATTCTTTCCATGAATTCAATTATTTTGAAAAATTTAAATAATATTCATGGCAAAATTTCAATTATCTTTATAAATCGCAAAATTCTTCGTCGAAATTCAATTATATTCAGGAATTTTTGTAAAATTCAATTGTTTTCATGAATAACAATATTTAACACAAAAATTCAATTATTTTCGAAATTAATAAAATTCTTCGCAGAAATTCAATTATTTTCCGGAATTTTAATAAAAATTCATTGCAAAATTCAATTATTTTCATAAATAACAATATTCGACACAAAAATTCAATTATTTTCAAAAATTCTAAAAAAAGTTAACAACATTTCAATTGTCTTTTTAAATGAATAGCAAAATTCTTCGCAGAAATTCAATTATTTTCCGGAATTTTAATAAAATTCATGGTAAAATTCAATTATTTTCATAAATAAGAATATTAGTCACAAGAATTCATTTATTTTCAAAAATTCTAAAAAATATTGTCAACATTTCAATTATCTTTTTAAATGAATAGCAAAAATTCTTCGACAAAATTTAATTATTTTCAGGAATTTTAGTAAAATTTGTTGCAAAATTCAATTATTTTTATAAATAACAGTTTTCATCACAAGAATTCAATTATTTTTAAAAGTAATAAAATTCAATTATTTTTAAACATTTTTCTTAATATTCAATGATTTTCAATATTCTACGAATTTAATAAAATTTTCCAAAGTATTCAATTATTAAACAAAAATTTTGATTTACAAATTTTTTATAAATTTCTTTGCAATAATTCAATTATTTTAAAAAATTTCAATAAAATTCTGTGAAAATTTAAATTATCTTGAAAAATTTTCTGCAATTCAATGATTTTCAAAAATAACAAAATTGTTCACAGAAATTCAATTCATTTTAAACATTTTAATAAAATTTTTCGCAATAATTCAATTATTTTCATAAATAATAAAATTCATCGCAGGATTTCAATTATTTTTAATACAATTTTACAGGAATTGCTAAAAAAATGTAATTATTCTTAAAAATTTAATTTCAATTCTTCGAAAAAATCAATTATTTAAAAAAAATGTTTTTTTTTTAAATTCTTTGGAAGAATTCAATTATTTTCATAAATAAGAATATTCATAACAGGAATTCAATTATTTTCAGGAATTTTTGTTTTAATTCAATAATTTGTCTATCTATTAATTTAATAAAATTTCTTAAAATAATTCAATTATTTAAAAACAATTTTGACAAAGTTCTACAAGAATATTCAATTATTTCCTAAAATAATGAAAATTTCACATGAATTCAATGATTAAAAATAGAATTTGAATAAAATTCTTCGCAATAATTTAATTATTTTTATAAATAATAAAACTCATTGCAGAATTTCAATTATTTTTAATACAATTTTAATTGAATTCCTCGAGAAATGTAATTATTCTTAAAAATTTTTTTAAAATTCGTAGAAAGAATTATTTAAAAATTTGTTGATAAAAATATGTGTAATTGAATTCTCGTAGAATTTTTTAATAAAACTTGATTTAAAAATTAATTTCAGTTAAAATTTTAGACAATAATTAAATATTAAAAGCATTATAGCGTAAACTCTTTCAAAAATTATTAAAAATAATTCATTTAGAGAAGAATTTTTGTTAAAAATTGTAGAAAATAAGAATTGAATTGAAATGATGAAAATAATTTTGAAGAACTTAGAGTAACAATATTCTTATAATGATTTTATCTCTCGGGCACCTTTAATTATATTTTAAAACATGAAGAAATCGATTACTCCGAGTTGAAGACTCGGAGTGATCCATTTCTTTATGTTTTATAATAAATATTCTTATTAGTTATTGAATTTCAAAAGGTTTGAATTAGAAATTTAGAAATTCTTAATTACCATGGAAAAATAATGATTAAAAATATTTATTGAAAAAAAAAAATTAAATTTTTGTGGCAACCCTGTTTTTGGTTTTTCTTTTTTTTTAAGTACTTGAGTGGAGGTGAAATATAAATTTAGTTTTCTGTTTAAAAGTTTGTATTATTTTGGTTTTAATATCAGTGGAGGCCACAGCGGGAGATTTTTTTCTGTATCATACAATTGACGTGGTAAGCGTGGCCACAGGGAAAGAGAGCGATGCCATTGTTGCCTAAGAGAACGGGCGTTTGGAGAGAGAGTGTACAACAGGGACACGTGGAGAATTTTGGCGAATAACGAATGCCCCAGTGATGGGGACCCGCGCCAAAAGCACTGCTCTCCACTGTTTGCTTTAAATCGTTTTCCAGCGATTTCATCAGATCTTCTTGTACCTAGAACAGTGGAATGTTATTTAAAATATTTACTTATTTATTAAAATTATTATTATTATTATAATTATTAAAATTAAGTAATTAAAATAATAAAATATTAAAAAAAGAAAAAAAATTGTCAAAGTTTAAAATTTTTCATATAACGATACATTAAAATGTCATTAAATTTTTACCTTTGGAGAGCACATCGACATATACTCGGCATCCTCCGATTGATTTCGACTAAAATCTAAATTACACTTGATGCCATTTTTCTCGAAAATTTTGGCAAATATTATCGTTTGGTAGACACTGAAAAAAAGTTGCGTTTACAATTTTCATAAATAAATGAACTTCAAAAGGTTTTAATTTGAAAATTTATAAAATTTCAATTTTTAATGAATTTCACTAGAAAGTTTAAGGAACTTAGAGTTTTGAAAAAATTTTAATACTTCAAATTCTTCTGAAATTAGTTAAATTTTTTAATATATAATTAATTAATTAATTAATTATTAAAAATAATGGATTTACAGACGAATTTTAGTTAAAAATTGAGAGGACATATGCAATAACGGACGAGGTGCTGGGACTGATCTCCCACTAAAACCAGAAAATAAAAAAACTTATCTGAAATATAGATTTTCTAGAAAGAAAAGAAGAAATTAAATAAAGCACAAGTTTTCTCAAAATTATTCTTCTTAATTTACACAATTTTTTGCTGGAATCAGTCCGAGTGCCTCGTCCGTTCTTGCATCTGTCCCCTCAATTCTAAAAAAAAAAAATTGAATTTTGGTGAATTTTTTTCATTCATCATTGCAGAAATTTAATTATTTTCAAAACTACTAAAATTAAATTATTTTCAAAAATTTTAAAACATTCTCGACAAAATTCTAATTATCTTTAAAAATAATAAAATTTTTCTCCAAAATTCAATTATTTCAAAAATTTTAATAAAATACTTGGCAAATATTAAAATTATTTTCCGAAATTTTAATCAAATTCATTGCAAAATTCAATTATTTTCATAAAAATTAATAAAAATATTCATCACAAACATTCAATTATTTTTAAAATTAATAAAATTCTTTGCAGAAATTCAATTATATTCAAAAGCGCTAAAACAAATTGTTATCATTTCAATTATCTTTTTAAATAAATAGCAAAATTCTTCGACGAAATTCAATTATTTTCAGGAATTTTAGTAAAATTTATTGCAAATTTCAATTATTTTCATAAATATGAATATTCATCACAATAATTGAATTATTTTCAAAATTAATAAAATTCTTCCCAGAAATTCAATTATTTCCAAAAGTGCTAAAAAAATTGTTTTCATTTCAATTATCTTTTTAAATGAATAGGAAAATTCTTCGACGAAATTCAATTATTTTCCGGAATTTTAATGAAATTCATTGTAAAATTCAATTATTTTGGAAACTAATAAAATTCTTTCCAGAAATTCAATTATTTTCCAAAATTAAAAAAAAATCTTGTCAAAATTTCAATTATCTTTATAAAAAGCAAAATTCTTCGCAAAAATTCAATTATTTTTCGGAATTTTAATAAAATTCATTGAAAAATTCAATTATTTTCATAAATAACAATATTCATTACAAGAATTCAATTATTTTCAAAATTAATAACATTCTTTGCAAAAATTCAATTATCTTCAAAAATTCTAAAAAAAAATTGACAACATTTCAATTATCTTTTTAAATGAATAGCAAAATTCTTCGACGAAATTCAATTATTTTCCGGAATTTTAATAAAATTCATTGCAAAATTCAATTATTTTTATAAATAACAGTTTTCATCACAAAGAATTCAATTATTTTTAGGAATTTCTATAACATCCTTTGCAAAATTCAATTATTCAATGCTTTTGAAACATTTTAATAATATTCTTCGCAGAAATTCAATTATTTGCAAAAATTAGAAAAAAAATTTTTTTTTTAAATTTAATTATTTTTACAAATAATAATATTTTTTACTATAATTTAATTATTTAAAAATTTCATTAGAATTCAATTTTTTTTTAAATAATAAAATTCTTTTTAGGTATTCAATTATTTTTAATAAATTTTTTAATGAATTCTTCGAAAAAATCAAGTATTCTTAAAAATTTTTTTTAAAATCGTCGAAAGAGTTTAATATTAAGAAACATTTAGTAAATTATTTATTTTTGTATTTAAATAATGGAATTCTCGTAGAATTTTCTAATAAAAATGAATTTAAAAACAAAGTACAGTTAAAATTTTAGATTTTAATTGAATATTAAAAGCATTATAACGTGAATTTTTAGAAATTATTGAATTTTCAAAAGGTTTCAAATTAAAGTCTTTGAAAATCTGAATTTTTCATACTACAAACAATTTTGTAGAATAAATTTTTTTTTTGAAGGATTTTAATTGAATTTTGTTTCAAATTATTTTTAGTTTCTATTTTCCAATATATTTAATTGATGAATTTTCGAATATTCAAAATTTCGTAAAATTAAATTCTAAATAAATGGATTTGAAAAGTTTCAAATAACTTTTTCAAAAATTTCTTTTTCATTTTTCAAAAAAAAAAAAAAAAAAATGAAAATAATTGATTTTGAGAAGAATTTTTGTTAAAAATTCTAGAAAATAATAATTGAATTGAAATGATGAAAATATTCTTATAAGTTATTGAATTTGTAATTTTTGAGAATCTTAATTCCTATGGAAACACAATAGTGATTAAATATTTATTTAAAAATGAAGTTATCCATGTTTTCGAATAATTTTCCAATATTAAAGAAATTCGTAAATAAAAATAAATAAATTTTCAGTTTTTTCTGCAAAAATACTTACTTTGCATCCAATTGCAAATCGCGAATAAATTTCTCCGCCTTGAATAAAAAAGCGAGTGTCACATCTGGTCCGTCCTTTTTAAGAATCTCATGTGTCACTCTCTCCCAATCGATGAATTTTTCAATTTCCCTTTCACCCTGAGAATCACCGCATGAAAGACAAATTCCCTTTTCAATTTTTCTCAAAACCTCATTGACTTTTCGCCATTCCCTCTCAGTCAAGTGTGGCAATAAAATAGACGCTGCAACACTGTCCTTAGTCTGCAACAAAGCGGACAAAATTTTCATTCTCGCCTCCTCATTCGGAAAATTCTCCATATAAAGCGGTAGAAATTCCCTCCACATAAAGGGAACGTTATCACAGATTTTCAGGCACTCATTATGTTCATTTTGAAATTTCTTCAAAAGCAATGATCCCATTTCGAGGAATTTCGGTTCTTTTGCGCGAGACATTGTGGGTTGTGGAAAGGCACAGGTCGCGCAATCATTGCGGCTCGACGAATTAATATCGATGAAAATTCGTAGAATTTCCTTTAAAATTGTTTCATTGTTTGTTGAAATTAAAAGATCGATTGGCACATATTCGAGGAGAGATTTATTCGATTGTAATTCCGCTGCTCGGATCATTTCGAAACATAGTCGCCTTAGTTCTTCTGGTTCCTCGTATCTAAAAATAAAGGAAAATAATAAAATACTTGGCAAATATTAAAATAAAAAAAAAAATTAAAAAAAATTAAAAAAATAAATTTTCTGGAATTTTAATAAAATTGATTGCAAAATTCAATTATTTTTAAAGTTAATAAAATTCTTCGTCAAAATTCAATTATTTTTAAAATTTCTAAAAAAAAATTGAAATTTTTATTTTCCTGAATTTTTTCTAATTTTCATCAAAAATATTTATTCCATTCTTATCCTCCTACTAAATTGAATTCCTACAACGAATTTTATTATTCGTGAAAGAATTTAAATATATTTATAAAAATAATTTAATTCTTGTGAAGAATTTTATTACAATTTTTTAAATAATTCAATTTCTTTCGACTAATTTAATGCAAATTCTAATTTAAATAATTGAATTCCTAAGAAATTTTTATTATTCATGAAAAGAATTGAATTCTTACGAAGATTTTTACAAAAAAAATTTTTAAATAATTGAATTCTGTTTGGAAATTTTATGAAAACAGTAGATATTGAAAATCATTGAATTGCGAAAGATTTTTAAAAATAATTAAATTTTACAAAAAATTCTATTAAAATTTTTGACAATAATTGAATGTCTGTGTGGTATTTTATTAAATTTTGTTGAAAATAATTAAATTCCTAAAAAGCATTTTATTATTTATGAAAATAATTGAACTCCTGAAAAGCATTTTATTATTTACGAAAATAATTGAATTCTTGCAAACGATTTTATTAGAATTTTTTTAAAATAATTGAATTTACAACAAAAAATGTATTACTTTTAAAAATAATTGAATTTTTGTGACAAATATTGTTATTTATGAAAATAATTAAATTTTTCAAAGAATTTTTTTAAAATGCCTTAAAATAATTGAATTTTTCAAAGAATTTTTTTTATTTATCGACATAATTGAATTTTTTAGAAGAATTGCATTATAAACTTTGAAATATTTAAATATAATTGGAAAAAATTCAACTAATTTCAATAGAATTGAAATTAAAATTTTTAAAAATTAGTTTCATAGACTTTTTAATTAAAAATATTAAAAATTCAGATTTTTTAAAATTTCAACTTGAAACCTTTACAAAATTCAATTATTTCTAAAAATTTATAACATAATGCTTTTAATACTTAATTATTATCTAAAATTTTAACTAAAATTCATTTTTAAAACAATTTTTATTAGAAAATTCTGGGAGAATTCAATTATTTAAATAGAAAAATAAATAATTTTTTGAATAATTGAATGTTTCTTAAAATTGAATTCTAATTATACAAAATTTTATCAACAAATTTTTAAATAATTGCATTCTTTTGGAATATGTTATTAAAATAGTAGGTAAATATATTGAAAATCAATAAATCGTGGAAAATTTTTCAAGATAATTGAAATTTTACAAAGAATTGTATTGAAATAATAAAATATTTTGAAAATAATAAAATATTTGCGAAGAACTTTATTAAAATTTTTTTTAAATAATTAAATTTTGGAGAAGAATTTTATTATTTATAAAAATAATTGAAATTTTGATAAGAACTTTATTATAATTTTCAAAAATAATTGAAATCCTGAGAAGAATTTTATCAATTTTTTAAAATAATTCAATTATTGAGAAAAATTTTATTAAAATGTTTAAAAAGAATTGAATTTCTTTGAAAACTTTTATTATTTATAAAAGTAATTGGATTTTTAAGAACTACTTTATTAGAATTTTTTTTAAAATTCTTGAATTTCCAAAAAAATGTATTACTTTTAAAAATAATTTAATTTTTGTGATGAATATTGTTATTTATGAAAATAATTGAATTTTGCAAAGAATTTTATTAAAATGCCTGAAAATAATTGAAATTTCGGAATAGAATTTCGTTATTTATTTTTAATAATTTAATTCTTTCGAAGAATTATTTATGTAAATAATTGAATTCTTAAAAAGAATTTTATTAAAACCTAAAAGAATAATTGAAAAAAATTTAATAATTATTTAAATAATTGATTTCTTTGAAATAATTTTACTAAAATATTTGAAAATAATTGAATTCCTGTGAAAAATTCTAATGTTTTTGTAAACAATTGAATTCTTCCACAGAATTTAAAAAAAACAGGTTTTTAAATAATTGATTTTTTCGAGGAATTGAAATTAAATTTTTAAGAATAATTACATTTTTTGCGAAATTCCTGTGAAAGAATTTTATTATTTATGCAAATAATTGAATAGTTGTAAAGAATTTTATTAAAATTTTTTTTAAAATAATTATTTTCCTGAGAACATTTTCATTACTTATTCAAATAATTGAATTCTTGCGAACGATTTTATTAGAATTTTTAAAAATAATTGTATTTAAAAAAAAAAAAATTCATTGCTTTTAAAGAGCAAGAATTTGATTAAAATGCCTCAAAATAATTGAATTTTATGAAATTAGTTTGTTATTTTACTTTAATAATTGAATTCATTCGAAGAATTATTTATATAAAGAATTGAATTTTTAAGAAGAATTTTATTAAAATCCTGCGATGAATTTGTTATTTATGAAAATAATTGAATAGTTGGTAACAATTTTATTTAAATTTTTAAAAATAATTGAATTCCTGAAAAGAATTTTATTATATTTACGAAAATAATTGAATTATTGCGAAAAATTTTATTAAAATATTTAAAAATAATTGAATTTTTGTGAAAAATTTTGTTATTTCTTGAAAATAATTGAATCCTTCATAAGAATTTTATTAAACATTGTTTTAAATAATTAATTTTTTTAAATTGTATAAATATTATAAGAATTTTATTTCAAATAATTGAATTCTTCTGGAAAACAATTACTTGTAAAAATAATTGAATTTATTGATTAATTATTTTAAAATAGTATTTAAAATAATTGAAATTCTTCGAGGAGTTTTATTTATTTATGCGAAAATAATTGAATTCTTGCTTAGAATTTTATCAAACAATTTTTTAATAGAAAATTGAATTTCCTTGAAAATTGTTATTATTAGTGAAAGTATTTGAATTATTGTGAAGAATTGTATAAAAATTTTGTTAAATAATTGAATTTTTCGAAATTATTTTGAAAATTCCATTCTAAATTAATTTGAATTGTTGTGGAAATTTTATTATTTTTGAAAATAATTAAATTTTATAAATTTTTTTTTAAATAATTGAATTCTTTTGCGAAATTTTATAGAAATGCTGGATATTCAAAATAATTGAATTTCGAATATTTTTTTGAAAATAATTGAATCGTTTTAAAGAATTTGAGACTATAATTTTTAAGAATAGTTTTTTTATTTCTAGTATTATCGAATTTAAAGTAGTCTTGGAAATAATAGAAATAATAGAAAAGAAAATTAAGATATTTGGAAAATATATTTTTACCTATTTTTTATCTCCTTTATCATGTCGGCGACTTTAATTAAAATTTGTTCAATTTCTTCTTCATTGTCGCTGGTGAATTTCAAAGACTCAACGAGTCGATGAAGTGATTTTAATTCCATTTGTAGAACGCACATCGTTTCGTGAAGAACTGTCTCCTTTCGGTCTGTTTTCTCTTCTTTCTTCTTCTCACTCTTCCTTTCTTTCTCATTTCTCACGACGATTTCCTCACTCGTTGATTCCAAATAATTACAAATTAAATCGTCCTCATTGTCCTGTTTCTCGAATATTTCCGGACTCCCCTTAAAACTTCCCGACGGTTCGGGACTACTTTTTGAACTACCAGAATTTACCAAAACAATTCCAGATTCGAGTTTTTTTGGTTGATTCAACGTCGAGCGGAGAATGGAAACAAGGGGAAGTATTTCCCTAATGGCACAACTTTCCGATTTTGGTTCCAAATCGAAAAAATCTGATTCTTGTCGATTTGAGATTGATTCACCATCATCATTATCATCATTATCATCATCATCATTATCATTAGCTAGTACTTTTAAAATTCTACTTCGAAATGTCGATGAGACTTGCAGGCAGTCTTGATAAAGTTTTCTATCGTATAGAGCGACTATTAGAGAATCAATTGTACAGAGAGTGAGACAGTGGAATTTTCCACTATCCGTTATTAGATAAATTTCGTTATTAATTACGTGGGCTTCCGTTACGGAGAATTCGTCATTCCAGAGGATGACGGAAGCGTTCAGTGGATCTAGAATGTATAAACCGTTTGATGTAAAAGCGAAGAGGAATTCTCCATTCATTGACGAGAGTTGAGAGAACATCAACGATTGCGGAAGCCAGGAACGATCGTTATCAACCTGGAAAATAAAAGATTTAGATTTCTTCTCTTCTAACAACATAAAAAAATTACCATCAATTCTAAAGCAAAACCTTCAGTTATTTCTATTTCTGACAATAATTTCTTTTTAAATAACTTAATTCTTAAACAACTATAAAAAAAATTATTACTTATAAATTATTTAGAGAATAATTTTTACTTAAATGTTTCAAATTTAATTAAATTTTAAAAAAGTTGCGTCTATAATTATATATTATCATAAATATATAAACTTCAAAGAATTTTAATTTGAAATTTTATAAAATATCTATTTTGAATGAATTTAATTAGAAATTTTAAAGAATCTAGATTATTGAAAAATATTAATAATTCAAATTCTTCCGAAATTAGTTCAATTTTTTCATATATGTACATTTAATTAATTACTAAAACTAATGGATTAATAGAAGATTTTTAAAACTCACTTAAAAAAATTGAATTTTGGAGAAATTACAAATTATTGTCAAAATTCAATTATTTTCAAAAGTAATCAAAATTTTTCGCAAAAATTCAATTACATTCGAAAATTTAGAAAAATTTCCCTCAAAATATCAATTATCTTTATAAATAATAACATTTATCTTCGAAATTCAATTATTTTTGAAACATTTCAATAAAATTCATGTCAAAATTTCAATTATCTTTATAAATTGCAAAAATTCTTCGCCGAAATTCAATTATATTTAAGAATTTTTGTAAAATTCAATTATTTTCATAAATAAGAATATTCAACACAAGAATTCAATTATTATTTTCAAAATTAATAAAATTCTTCTCATAAATTCAATTCTTTTCAAAAATTCTAAAAAAAACATTGTCAACATTTCAATTCTCTTTTTAAATGAATAGCAAAATTCTTCTACAAAATTTAATTATTTTCAGGAATTTTAGTAAAATTTATTGCAAAATTCAATTATTTTTATAAATATGAATATTCATCACAAGAATTCAATTATTTTCAAAATTAATAAAATTCTTCGCAGAAAATTCAATTATTTTCAAAAATTCTAAAAAAAAAAAATTGTCAAATTATCTTTTTAAATAAATAGCAAAATTCTTCAAATAAATTCAATTATTTTCCAAAATTTTAATAAAATTCATTGCAAAATTCAATTATTTTCATAAATAACAGTTTTCATCACAAGAATTTAATTATTTTTAAAATTAATAAAATTCTTACCAGAAATTCAATTATTTCCAAAAGTGCTAAAAAAATTGTCATCATTTCAATTATCTTTTTTAATGGAAATCAAAATTTTTCGACGAAATTCAATTATTATCTGGAATTTTAATAAAATTCATTGCAAACATCAATTATTTTTATAAATAACAATATTCATCACAAAAATTCAATTATTTTCAAAATTAATAAAATTCTTTGCAAAAATTCAATTATTTTCAAAAATTCTAAAAAAAATTGACAAAATTTCAATTATCTTTTTAAATAAATATCAAAATTCTTCAAAGAAACTCCATTATTTTTAAACATTTTAATAAAATTCTTGTCGAATTCGTCGGAAGAATTCAATAATTAAAAAATTTCACTATTTATTAATTTAAAAGTTTGTTGATAAAATTGGTTATGACAATTGAATTTTAAGAAACATACAATATTATTAAACAAATAAATAATTTATTTATTTAAATAATTGAATTCTCGTAGAATTTTCTAATAAATATTGATTTGAAAATAAATTTCAGTTAAAATTTTAGATAATAATTAAATATTAAAAGCATTATAGTATAAAATTTTAGAAATGATTTAATTTTGAAAAGGTTTCAAAAGTTAAAATTTTGAAAAATCTGAATTTTTAATATTTTTAATTAACAATTCTATGAAAATAATTTTTTTCAAAAATTTTAATTTCAATTCTGTTGAAATTAGTTGAATTTTTTTTAAATCAGTTTTAATTATGTTTAATTATTTCAAAATTTGAAATGCAATTCTTCGAAAGAATTCAATTATGTCGATAAATAACAGACATCATTGGAGAAATTCAATTATTTTCAAAAATTTTAATAAAATCGTTTGCAAGAATTTAATTATTTTCATAAATAATAAAATTTTTCACAGAAATACAATTCTTTTGAAACATTTTAATAAAATTTTGCTCAATAATTCAATTATTTAAAAAAATAATAAAATTCTTGTCAAAGTTTCAATTATTTTCATAAATAAAAGAATATTCACCAGAAGAATTCAATTATTTTCAGAAGTATTAAAATTCTTCGCAAAAATTCAATTATTTTCAAAAATTTTTATTAAAATTCTTGTCAAAGTTTTAATTATTTTGAAAAATTTTCAACAATTCATTGATTTTCAATTCTAAAAAATTGTACGCAAACATTGAATTTTATTTTCATTTAAATAATAAAAATTTCAAAGGAAAAAAAATTATATACCAATTTTTTTGCAATAATTGAATTATTTCTATAAATAATAAAATTCTTTTTGGGAATTCAATTATTTTCATAAATAATAAAAACCCATCGCAGAATTTCAATTATTTTTAATACAATTTTTAATCAAATTCCTCGAAAAATGTAATTATTCTTAAAAATTTTATTAAAATTCATCAAAGAAATTTAATTATTTAGAAATTTATTGATAACATTCTTTATGAGAATTCAATTTTAAAAAACATTCAAATATTCACTAAATTCTTTTTTTTTCGCATTTAAATAATTGAATTCTCGTAGAAATTTCTAATAAAAATTGATTTTCATTTTATAAAAATGAATTTCAGTTAAAGTTTTAGATACTAATTGAATATTAAAAGCATTATAACGTGTATTTTTAGAAATATAATTGAATTTTGAAAAGGTTTCAAATTAAAGTCTTTGAAAATCTGAATTTTTCATACTACAAACAATTTTGTAGAATAAATTTTTTTTTTGAAGAATTTTAATTGAATTTTGTTTTAAATTATTTTTTTGTTTTTATTTTCTAATATTTTTTAATTGAAGAATTTCCCAATATTCGAAATTTCGTAAAATTGAATTCTAAATAAATGGATTTGAAAAGTTTTTAAGAACTTTTACAAAAATTTCTTTTTCATTTTTCAAAAAAAAAAAAAAAAAATGAAAATAATAATTTACCCGCAACGTTTTGGAATTTTTATAAACCGGCAAAGGTGGAATTGTCAAGGCCTCCTTGAATTGATGTGTCTTAATGACGACTCCATTGGTCGTGACTTCCCAGAGTCTTGAACTTGGCCTCGCGCAATAAATTTTAAAGTGATTTTCATTTAGAATTGAATTCTCACTGTCAGTATTCAAACTGAATGTTCTTCTTCTCGATATTGTCTCCTCCTCGACGGTTTTACTCGATTTCTCACCATCGTGTGGTCTTTTTAGAAAACAAGCTCCATATTCACCGTCACGTGTTTTATTTCCCACTTGCTTGTAGTGTTCCAAATTTGTATCGCAAATATAACAACGAGTCAGCGTTGAAATTAATAAAAGCGGAGCGGAGAAGCTAAGTTGCACAATGCTTGAATCAAGTTGCATTAATGTACAATTTGGTGCTTGGAACATTCCGTTCACCTGGAATATAATGATGGATTATTAATTTTTTAAGGGGGGGTATTTAAAAAAATAAAAAAAAATAAATTAAAAAATGTTAAAATAATAAAAAAAATAAATTAAAAAATGGTAAAATTAAAAAAAATCATTAAAAAAAAATAATAAAATAGGTTTGAATTGATTTTTTTTATAGTTGCACTAAAAGTATCTACCATGAAAAATATTTTCACGGCATTTTCAGTATTTAAAAAAAATTTTTATATAAATAAAAAATTTTTTAAATTAAAAAAACAATAAAAAAGAAATAAAGAATTTTTTAAATTAAAAAAATAATAAAAAAAAAATAAAAAAAATAGGTTTGAATTGATTTTTTAGTAGTTGAACTAAATGTACCGTGAAAAATGAAAGAACCATGACAGAGACTTTGCCAATGCCGTCGCCAATGTAAAGTTCAGAACTGTTGTCATTCCAGCAGAGATTCGTTATTTTCTCACCGGAATGCTCGTTGGAAACGGCGATTAATTTTATCACAGGTTTAAATGTAACGAGACAAACATTTCCACGAATTGTTCCCAGAGCAATTGTTTTCTCGTCAGGTGATATCTCGACTCGAGATACAGCTCCTTCCTGAATAACAAATTAATGAATTAATAAATAAAGAAATAAATAAAAATTAATTAATTAACAAATTAATTTTTTAATGCAAAATGAAAAAATAAAAAAAAATTTTTTTTTAATAATAAAATAGGGTTGAATTGATTTTTTTTTTCCATTAAAAAATGAAATGAAAAAAATACTATTGAAACTTCTAAATTACCATTATCCGAAAGATTGTGTAATTTAATGCAGAAATGTGAATTTTTCGAAACGAAAAATAGAAAAAAAATATTCTTATTTTTTGGTTTCTATTAATTCTTTTTCTTTTCGTTTTTTGACGATTTATAAAGTGCGTTATAAATAATAAAAAATATGATTTATACCGAAAGCGGAATTAGTTGATGGAAGGTACATGGTTCCCTCTTAAATAGATATAGACTTCCACTGGTTGATCCAAGAACAATTAAATTTGAAGAGACTGCAATGCAAGTATACTGTGAACATAAAAATTAATTATTAAAAAAAATTAATAACACTTTCTTTAAAAATTACTTAGAACTCTACTTTTTCAAATTTTTTAGTAGAATTTCAAATTACTAGACATTCAATTTACTAAATGAATTAGTGAAATTGTTTTTTCGATTTTTAATATAAAACAGTTCCACTAATTGTTTAGTAAAATTCTACTAAACTTGCTTTATCATCAAATTCAAACCTTTTTCAATTTTAATAACTTATAAGAATATATTTTTTTATTATAAATATAAATTTATTATAAATATAAATTTATTATAAATATAAATATAAATAATTAAAGATGACCGAGTGATAAAATCATTATTTTATATTGTAAAAATATTGTTATTATAACGTCGTCAAAATTATTTTCATTATTTCAATTCAATTATTATTTTCTAGAATTTTTAATTAACTAAAATTCACTTTAAATTAATTTTTTTAAAATAATTTTTAAAAAAGTTCTTTGCGAATTTTCAAATCCATTTGTTTACAATTCAATTTTACAAAATTTCAATTCTTCGGAAATTCTTCAATTAAATAGTATTAGAAAATAAAGGCTTCAAATAATTTCAACATTTTCTCAAAACAATTCATTCTATAGAATTATTTGTCTTAAAATATGAAAAATTCATATTTTCAAATATTGAGATCAATAATTGAGACCTTTTCAAAATTAAATATAAAAATTGACGCTATAATGCTTTCATTATTCAATTGTTATCTGAAATTTTAACTCAAAAATTAATTTTTAAATCAATTTTCATTAGAAAATTCTACAAGAATTCAATTATATAAATACAAAAATAAAAAATTTACTGAATGTTTCTTAATATTAAATTCTTTCGACGATTTTTAATGAAATTTTTAAGAATACTGGCATTTTTCGAAGAATTAATTTAAGATTATGTATTAAAAATAATTGAATACCTAAAAATAATTTTATTAATTTTATAAAAAAAATTTATTTCTTGACAAGAGAATTATAATGGAATTTTTTAAATAATTAAATTACAGTGAAAAATTTTATCATTTGCAAAAATAATTTATTTCGTGGGAAGAATAAAATTAAAAATTTTTGAAAGTAATTGAATTTCTGCGAAGAATTTTAATACTTTTGAAAATAATTGAATCCCTTCAAAAAATGTTATTATATAATTAAATATAATTGAAAAAAAATTCAACTAATTTCAACAGAATTGAAATTAAAATTTTTGAAAAAAATTATTTTCATAGAATTGTCAATTAAAAATATTAAAAATTCAGATTTTTCAAAATTTTAAATTTGAAACCTTTTCAAAATTCAATTATTTCTAAAATTTTATACTATAATGCTTTTAATATTCAATTATTATCTAAAATTTTAACTGAAATTTATTTTTAAATCAATATTTATTAGAAAATTCTACGAGAATTCAATTATTTAAATGCGAAAATAAAGAACTTATTGAATATTTGAATGTTTTTTTGTAATTGAATTCTCATAAAGTATGTTATCAACAAATTTCTAAATAATTGAATTTTTTAACGAATTTTAATAAAATTTTTAAGAATAATTACATTTTTCGAGGAATTTGATTAAAAATTTGATTAAAAATAATTGAAATTCTGCGATGGGTTTTTATTATTTATGAAAATAATTGAATTCCTAAAAAGAATTTTATTATTTTTGGAAATAATTCAATTATTGCGAAAAAAATTTGTATAAAATTAATTTCTTGTGAAATATTTATTATTTAAATAAAAATAAATTCAATGTTTGCGTACAATTTTTTTTAGAATTGAAAATCAATGAATTGTTGCGAATTTTTCAAAATAATTAAAATTTTGACAAGAATTTTAATAAAATCTTTGAAAATAATTGAATTTTAGAGAAGAATTTTATAAAAAAATTTTTAAATAATTGAATTCTTTCTACGAATTTAAAAAAAAAAATTTTAAGTTGAATATTTACATTTTTCGAGGAATTCGATTAAAATTATGTTAAAAATAATTGAAATTCTGCGATGAATTTTATTATTTATGAAAATAATTGAATTATTACGAAGAAATTTGTAAAAAAAAATTTTTAAATATTTGAATTCTTTTTAAAATTTTATTAAAATAGATATTGAAAATCATTATGGATTGAGAAAAATTTTGGAAGATAATTGAAATTTTGCAAGTCTTAATTTTATTGAAATTTTTGAAAATAATTGAATTTCGGAAAAGAATTTTATTATTTATAAAAATAACTGAAATTTTGACGAGAATTTAAAAAAAGTTTTTAACATAATTAAAATTTTTGCATAGAATTTTATTACTTTTGAAAATAATTGAATTTCTGCAAGTATATTTGTATTTTTACTTCCTCATAGAGGAAGTATTGTAATACCGAAATTTTTCGAGTTCGATTTTTTGACATATCTTTATGTTATTTGACCTCAGGAGTTCAAAAATGACATTTTTAAAAAATGTCATTCCGTATGTGTGTGTGTGTGTGTAAACATCACATTTTCATAAATATCTCGAAATCATGAAGAGCTTTTGAGTTGAATTTTTTTTTAAATTGTAGATCTCACCTGCGGACATAAAGCGAGAGTACTTTCTGATATATTAATAAAGTTTAACTAAATTTTTTTTTGATTTTTAATTTTGCAAAAAAACGTTTTTTGACCATAACTTTAAAAAAATGTTAGGACACCTATAAATGTTTTTCCATAATTTTGTAGAGTTTTTTTAGACGCATCTTTTGAGCCCTAATTGAACATTTTTCGTCCATATTAACCGGAGTTATTAAACTTTTAAAAATCAAAAATTTTGGAAAATAAGACTTTTTTGAAAATTTTGTTATAAAACGTAGAAGTAACTTTAAAATTATCGTTATCAACTTGTAGAGCATTAAAAAACGCTTCGATTGACCTATTTTTGAACCTAATTCGATAATAAATTTCAAAATTATTGGTATTTTAAAAACCAAAAATTGTGAAAAATGACATTTTCTCAACTTTTTTGATTGACAATTTTTATTTAACTATTAAATTATTGTAACTATCTTGTAGTGTATTTAAAAATACATTGATTGACTCAAAATTCAATCACTTTTACCATATTTATAAAAAGTCATTCATATATTTCTATTATTTTTATCTCTATGAGGAAGTAAAGTGTTCATGAAATGAGCACCAAAATTATATAAAAAAATACAACTTGGCAGCGGTTTTTTAAAATTCTAATTTCTTTAAAATTCAGAATTTTCTTATGAATTCTAAAAATTTAATTTTTTTTTCTCGTCACATAAGGGTTATTTGGTTTTAGACGCCGACCCGTGACAATGCTGTGCTTACAATAATAATAATGATAATAAATTTGTTGTTAAAATTAGTAAATTCTACTCTCTATTATATTTTTTAATCTTCATAAACTGTTAATCAACTGTAGATTCAGATTATTTTATGAATTTGTATATTTATATTCAAAGTGTATTTTTTTATTTATTATATAATTTCATTGTTATTCTCATGTTTTCCTGGTATAAAACAAAGAAATCTATAATCTAATTTTGACAACAGCTATTTAAACGATTTAAACATATTATTATAACCTATATACCTACCTTTATCCGGTGAGTCGCATTTATAGGATTATAGAGAATTGAATTTATTTCCTGATTTTCCGACAATATGAAACGAATATCTTGCATTTTTTTTCTCTCTGAACTCTGAATTTCACATAACTTGTTAATTATTATTTTATCTTTTTAAATTGCGACAAATTTGCCATTTGACAGCTGATATCTGTCATTTGTTGATTATTTTGATCAAAACATGGATTATTTGTAATTTTTGCTACCAGGTAGCGTAACATTATCGTGCTGTCTCTGTCCTTGTCGAATTTCACGAAGTTTGCCGAGTCCCCCCGAGCGTCGGTTTTAGGGTTGAGTTTACAATGGACAATTATTTCTTAAAGGGCAACCCACAGTTTCTTCGAGTTTTTTTTTATTTAAAATTCATCACCGCATATTTGTAAATTGTAAAACTATTTTTACCCTTTTTACCACATTCGCCTTTATTACATCATTTAGTTTACAAATTTATTCTGCTTTGGCATTGAGTTTGTCATAATTTTGCAATATTGATAATAAAAACGTCTGTTCTTTACAGCAATATAAAGATAAAAATAAATTTGTAGATAGACACAATCGATAAATAGACACAAATAAGTAAAAAAGAATGTATTTTTAAAAAATAAATTTATTAGTTTTTGAAAATTTCTTCATTATTATAATAATACTAAAGCTAATAGTATACAATTTATACCTTAATATTTAATATTGATAAAATAATTATATCGCGATCAGAAAGAAAGGCCTAAGAAGAAAACATTTATAGGTTATGTTCATGATCGTTTTTCAAGGCCATCGCAATTGGTTCGCGAACGCAATGTGTTAGAAGAGGACAGAAACATATTCCTATTCTTTTCTATCTTATATATTGCGTTCGAGGAAGTAATTAGAGCTTAATATGCGGGCTTTACTTAAAACATAACCTATAAAGGTTTCATTAGGCCCTTTATTTCATGTCGAGTTGCAATTATATTAAAAATAGCTTTTCACATATACTACTAGTTTTTTTAAAAATCGTATATTTTTTGTTTAGATATCTGTTTGAAGAATGACAAAGTTTTTTTTTTATCTCTGTACTAAAATGATGAAATTTTATTGGGCAATTTCTAATACTTTTAAAAACGATGCGTACCCCTCCAAAAATAGATTTGGATTCTCCAAGGCACTCCAAGGTGACATTATGATTTAAAAGCACTGACACAACCGCAAGCATTACTTCAGTCTTAATTTAACCGTCTTTACTGCGTCTTAAATATTTTCGATTTGCAATTAATTACAATATATATATACTGACAAAAAAATTAGGTAAGTTCGACTTAATTGATAAATACCTATCAGTATTTTTATTATTAAGGATCACTTGACTATTCTATTCTAATATTTAACTATATTCTTTTAAAATAAAAATTAACAGTTATATTAGTATTAAAATATACAATTATCTTAATTTATATTCATTTTTTATACACTTATCTCATGATTAGAATTTACTTCACACTCGGAATTCATTTTCTTCACTGTACAAACAAATTTCTGTTATTTTATTACCACCATTAACCACAAAGCTTATAGATTGTGCGATGGTATCACATTTGGGTCAAGCTATTAAGGCCTATAAGCACAACTGCATCGCGAACGCAAAACATGAGTTAGAAAAGGACAGAGATATATTTGTGTCCTTTTCTGTCTCATGCATTTCGTTTGCGAACATTTTAAGTTTTTTTAAAAAAAAGCTTTTTTTTTCAGCATCTACAGATCATTGAGGAAGGAAAACAAACAAACTTGAAGAGTGCGGTACTCCTCGTATAATAAAATTAACTTGTTCGATTTTATTAGAAAAGAAAAATATACATTTTAAGAAAACATTAATAGTACAAAATATAAATACCAAAAAATCATAAAGAATGAATACCAAATTACTTTTGTGTATTTTTTTTATTTTCTTACTCAACGACATTGAAGCTGCATATAAAGGGAACACTAGTTTTGTTAATGATATAGACGGAGTAGGAATTTTAGACAGTCATCCTTGTTGTGTATGTTGTTTGTCTATTAATGTAAAAGACAAAAGTCAATGTGGTAGTGATTGCGATTGCTGCGTGGCAGTTAGAGATTGTCAGCCATGTTGTTGCTGTTGCACAAATGAAAGCGATTGTACAGATTGTTATGGCGTGAATTGTGCAAGTGCTGATTGTAATCCCGAATCTGGATATTACGAAGGATGTTAGTAAAAAAAATAACTTTCCAATGCAAAAGATAAAACTAAGAAAATAAAAATTGTAAACATATTCTAGATATGAAATATATACTTTTTATAAAAATGAAAATACTGAAAAAATTTTATTTTCTCTTTGAATAAGGTTGTAACTGAGATAATTTATCTAGATCGGGTAAGGGTTTTATTATATATTATTTATTATTATTTATATAAGCTTGAAATTCGAAAACCAAAATTCATAGGGAGGAGAAAAGCAGCGATATCGGTCTATCTCCCTTGCACTTATTTTCGACTCGACAATGGGAGTGGACGGACCCTTATACATGCGCACAGCGTGGTTGAGCGTGGTCAATTATTTACCGACATTGGTGAAGCCTGGATCCTGAAAATAGATGGACCATGGTGTACATAACACAGCATTTGGTTATGTTTGTGTTTACAAAACTAATGTGTTTTTAATAGTGTAGTGTTTTTAAACTCAAATTTTAAAAAACATATACATTTATGTAAGTACCTTTAATAATAAATTTGTTTATTAGATTCAAGAAAATATAAATAAACTCATGCGAGAAATATAAATACTTCAAAGTTTGCAATAATTCTCTGGGTATTCTTAGAACAGAAAATTTAAAGGTTCTCGATAGATCAAGAACCTTTAAATTTTATGTCCCTATGATTATTTGCCAACTTAAAATATTTGAATAAAATAAAAAAATTATTTGTAATAATGTAATATTTTAGTTAAAACTTGAATCAAGAAAATAAATTCATATTGTGCCTCATAATTTGAGATTATGGCATTATGGTCCTAATGAAGTTATTAAATATTACTAAATATTATTAAATATAAATTTAACCTTATTTATGCCATTAAAAAAATTTTGTCACATATTAAAACGCGTGTTGTGCTTTAAATTGTTAAACTCATTACAGTTTGTTGCAATCCGTTCAATTTGGAGTAAAACTTATAAATATAAAGGTTATACAAAATTTAAGTATGATCTTGTATGATATTAATTTTAAGAAAATTTTACTTCAAAATAAATTTTATTTATTTTAACCGCACGAAGTAATTTTAACACATCAAATTTCAAAAAGATAATAATTTTCATGATAAAATTAATTTTTTAATATTAGTTCACAATCTTTGTCGGCATATATAAAATAAATAATTAGTTTAATAATTTCTTTATAAATTTAAAAAATTTACTAACTTTAATTTGTTAAAGCAAATTATCAAAATAAACGAAAATTATCAGAAAAACTATTTATTTAGTACTTGCACAGTATTACAAACATCTTTTTCTTTTATCTTTTGTGGAAAAACAAGAATTTTCATGAAACCTTTTAAAATTGATTTATCTTGAAATTATAAATATATAAATATATTTAATATATTTTAATATATTTAATATATTTTAATATATTTAATATATTTTAATATATTTTAATATATTTAATATATTTTAATATATTTTAATATATTTAATCAATATGTTTAAAAATTGATTGGTTAAATTTCATAATTCTGACCGTCATTTTGAATTTTGATAAACTGACATCGGATTCGTAATCATCGACCCCAAAAACCCCCGAGTAACCATTTTCAAGTATAGATTTGATTAAATTTTAAAAAATTTTCTGTCCGCCATATTGGATCCGCCATTTTGAATTTTGAAAAACTGACATCAGATTCGTAATTAGCGACCCCAAAAACCCCTGAGTAACAATTTCCAAATAAATTTGATAAGAATTCTAATTTTTTTTAATTTTACCGCCATTTTGTTTCTTGTGAATTATGGAAACAAATTTAGTGGGCAATAAGCATATTTTATGATGACCTTCAAACGTTCCCAAGTTCCATTCAATTCTAAGTGATACACCGTAAAATTATTTAAAATTTTTAATTTACATTAGTTTTAGCTCTCAGTCGGTTTTTCTTGCGGAAATAAAAAATGACAGGGGTTAATTTTTGATTTTAGGACTATTTTTAAATGAAGTTATAGGGGTCGTCCATATACCACGTGGTCAGTTTTTCAAAGATTTTTGACCCCCCCCCCTCCTCCCTTGTGGACACAAAAATACATGGGATCGTGGACATTTTCAAACTTTTTTTTACCCCCTCCCACCCCCCAAAAGTGTTCACGTGGTATATGGACGACCCCTTATCACTTTCGATCAATTAGTTATTTTAAACAATACATATCGTATTTTTCTAAAGAGAAAAGTGATTCTTTTTGACTGCATGAAGATTGAGATGAAGGGGTTGATTTTTAATTATAAGGGTTGTTCGTTAAATATTATTATGTCTTATTATGTTGGAATTGCCTTCAATTATATTCTTGAAAAATCTTACCGGACATTTGATTTATAAATATAAGTTTCGCAGAATATAAATTTTAGGAGTTGGGCATAAGGATGGATACCCCATATGATTCATTACCGTTTATTTTTAGATTTACAAACACTTCAAGTGCATAATGATGTAATTTTGTCTTTATTTTACAATATTTAATTTTGCCAAAAAGCTAAAAAATCCCGAAATTTAAAAAAATCGACTGAGAGCCTGCGGGGATCTTTGGTACACAAGCACAAAATTCTCACCACGTCTAATGTAATATCACTAATTTTCCTTTTCTTTCCATGCATTTTTTTAGGTTTACAATATGATGATATATCAACCTTGAAAGCTAATCTCCATTTCACCATCACAATGTCTATCTATCCTCGCCTAAATCCTGGCATATATCGCCCAGAACATCAGGAGCAGAGATTAACCCGAGATGCTATGAAACGCTACCTACGCGACAGAAGTGACATGATTATTATCGTTTTACATGCAAAAGTTGCACAAAAATCTTACGGTAATGAAAAACGTTTCTTCTGTCCTCCACCCTGTATCTATTTATTCGGCGATGGTTGGCGAATGAGGCAGGAGCAAATGCTCAGAGAAGGTGAATCCGAACAATCATCGCAATTATGCACCTTCATTGGAATTGGAAATTCCGATCAGGACGTACAACAACTCGATCTCAATAATGGTAAAAAGTATTGCGCCGCCAAAACACTATACATCTCCGATACGGACAAGAGAAAACATTTTATGCTCTCCGTTAAAATGTTTTATGGCACTGGTCACGATATTGGAGTATTTCACAGTAAACGAATAAAGGTTATATCGAAACCTTCGAAGAAGAAGCAATCGTTGAAGAATACGGATCTTTGCATAGCAAGTGGAACGAAAGTGGCCCTCTTTAATCGTTTACGTTCACAAACGGTTAGCACAAGGTATTTACATGTTGAAAATGGTAATTTTCATGCGAGTTCAACACAATGGGGTGCTTTTACAATTCATCTTTTGGAGGACGACGAGAGTGAATCTGAGGAATTTCAGGTGCAACACGGATATATTCATTATGGCAGTACGGTGAAGTTAGTGTGTTCAGTGACTGGAATGGCCTTACCGAGGTTAGTGATCCGTAAGGTTGATAAACAAATGGCGAACATTGAGGCCGATGATCCAGTTTCGCAACTACATAAATGTGCCTTTTATATGAAAGACACGGAACATTTGTATTTGGGTCTTTCGCAGGAGAGGATTATTCAGTTTCAAGCAACTCCATCGCCGAGGGAGGCGAACAAGGAGATGATTAATGATGGTGCATGCTGGACAATCATCAGTACCGATAAGGCTGAGTATAAATTTTTTGAAGGAATGGGTCCAGTCCGTTCGCCAGTGACACCAGTGCCACTTGTTCACAGTTTGCACCTGAATGGTGGTGGTGAAGTGGCAATGCTCGAATTAACCGGTGATAATTTTACCCCGAATCTTCGCGTTTGGTTCGGTGATATTGAAGCTGAGACGATGTACAGATGCCAGGAGAGTATGCTCTGCGTTGTTCCGGATGTATCGCTCTTTAGGGACGAATGGCTTTGGGATCGTCAACCAAAACAAGTTCCAGTGTCACTGGTGCGAAATGATGGTATTATCTACGCGACTGGTTTAACATTCACCAGTACACCAGAAGCGGGACCTCGTCAACACTGTCCTCCTGCTGAAGAAATTATGCGAGCGCCTCATTCTCATCATAATCAAGCAAGTATGCCACCGAGTATAGCCGATGTTCCCTGGAGTACATATCCGTCAGCACAAGGTCATCATCTCTGATAATTCGACTCCCAAGAACCAAAGTTCCTTAATTACACAATTTTACTCAAATTTACTTTAATTCAGCCATCTGTGTTCAAACAGTGAAGTGTAAAAGTGACCAGTCTTTATAGCATTCGTGACAAGATGATAGTTATCATAGATATTAGTTTCCAAAAATAATTTGGATTGTGAAATGCAGACCTCCCGAATTTACAAGTATACTAGATGGTAAATTATATGCAATGACAAGTGGACTAATTTATAGAAAGTTAAATAAACCCATTAATAATATTAATATAGAGAAAACAAAGCCATATTAAAAAATAAACATATTAAAAATAGGACATAAAGAGTTGAAACATTTTCGAAGTTGAGAAAAATTGAGGCTGTTTTCTGCGGCAATTAATGAAACAACTGCTGTGATTTGTGTGTCTTTTTTCTAAATGCTTTTCATAATAAAACAAAAAGAGTTACTAAGGAATGAATGTAGTGTGTATATTGTATTTTTAATTCTATTCACAGCGAAAAAGTGTGATCACCCTTATTACAAATGTATGACTTGAAAAATTACACTAATTTTAAAAAATTGAAACAGCGATCAAATATACTCTTTTGTTTATCCCTTATTTACTCCACTAAAAATAACCATTTTACAAAAATGCAAAATTTCTTTTTATGTATTAGATTTTTTCTTCCGTTGTTGAAGTTTGTTAATATTCTTTTAATCGATTATCTGAAGAGTAATAAATGAAACACTATTCCAATAGTTGTGCAACGTTTCGGTGTCTTGGTTTGACATCATCATCAGGCCACTTTATTAAACAAAGACGGCTTCAAGACCGGCAAGGAGTTTCACCATTTTATTGACACTTCTAAACAAGGTTGAGTCGCTTAATTTTTGTTCCTCGCATAGATTAAAGGCCATTGTGCAATAAATGTTTAACCTAATGGAAATTGTAGGAATGAGTTAGACAAGGATAGAGATAGGATCTACGTCAATTGGAATTAAGAATGAGGCGTTCCAACCGTGTTTGGATCTGCGAAAGCAGAATCGAAACGTAACCGGAATCTGAAGCTTTTCTCTGTTGGCTACTGCTATCTGAAATCGCATTCTCAACGCATTTTGTGAGTATATTTTTTTCGTAAAATTATATGACATTTGAGTTTGTATTCATCGATGTTACTTTTAGAATAATAAGTAAATACTTATATCACTCTTTCCATTCTTTAATATTTCTAAATTGTATAACAATTATATCATAATTTGAAAATGTTGTCAAAAGAAATGACGTCCATAAAATTTTGAGGTTATAATTTTTATCATCATTTGTAGCAAATCGTTAATGATTTCTAATATTAGATTTTGAATTTATCATAATTGGATGTTAATTATAGCTCTTTAAAATGGATTTTAACAAGTTGAACGTAAAATAACTCGCATGATGAAGTAGTTAGAAAAATTAAACGACTATAAGAAGTTACAAATTTTTGACAAGTATTTTAAGCTAGAATCATGGCTAAAATATAATTTTTAAAAACAATCAAAAAATGTCTATAATATCTTAAAAAGTTTTATTTTTCATGAGATTTTATAATAAACTGTTGCAAATAAATTGTAACGTGCTCTTAAAACTTTATACCTGAGAAGCAAAGAATTTTAGGTTATGTTTGTAATTTTTATAATGAAAATACACAAAGGAAATCAATTCTCAATATAAATCACTGATATTTCAGTTTTCCATATATCTAAACTAATTAATAAAATCTAATTTTTGTTTATAAAATTAAACACAGAAACTTTTAATTTAAGTAAAAATAACACGAACATAACCTTTAAATTATTTGCTCTTTGGGTACCTTGGGTTCGTTTCTTTGAAGAGTCATATATTTATTTAATTTAAAAAATATTACTTTTAAACGAAAACATTTTTAAAAAATTCTATTTACAGAATTTTAAAAATTATATTCATTAATTAAAAATAAAATACAAACATTTTTAATACTTTATACATTTATTATACATACATATAAATATATACAAATTCATTATAAAATTAATCCTATTATTCCAAATACATGTTTTTAAAAATAATTCTGAATAAAAATATTTAATTTCATTTATATTAAAAAAGCAAAAAATAAAAAATTTACAAATAATTAAATCTTCATAAATAGTTAAATTTTTCTAAAATTGATTCTTTCGTTAAAATTATAATTATTTTTTATAAAAAAGAAAGATATTAACTAACATACAATTTTTTCACAGTTTGATAAATATTTAAATACTCTAAAAATACAATAAAACGTATATTGTTTCGTAAAAAAAAATACCTCATATAGAATTCGAATTTCGTGGTAGAAAATCACGAAAAAGTACATAAATAGTTAAAAGTAATTTGTTTTTTTATAATTTATTGTAATTATTATTATTAAGATTTTTTACTATACTTTAAACAAAAACACAGCCGTTTGATCTATTTGACTTACTTTGTGTGTTATGCACTGTCTTTGGAAGACAAAAAATAAAATAATAATTGTAAACGTAATCGAAAGTAATTAAAGTTAAATTCAAATAGAAATGTTAATTTTAAAATAAAAATAATTATAACAATTTTTAAATTATTTTATATTTTTATAATTATTTTTATTTCGAAATTAACATTTCGATTTGAATTTAAATTCAAAATTGTTAACGAAATGTTTTAGAAAGCTGAAAAACTACAAAACTTTTGTTTAGTAAAATTTTCTTTTCGAAAGTTTCGTTGACAAAAATAAATTTAAAAATAAAACATTCTTCAGTAAAAAACTATAAATGGTGGAATTTTTGTTTTGTTGAAAATTCTATCTGTAAGAAACATTTTTATGCTTCTGAAATTTCTTTAACCGAAAAATATTTTTTTTATAAGAAAAAAATACGAACTATTAATAAATATAATTTTTTTTGGTAGAAAATATTTTTCGGCACTAAAATTTACGATTTCGTTTAGAATTATTAGTAAATCTATATTACAATAAATTTTTGAATACTTATAAAGTTTAGTACATTGAGAAAACATGTTTGAATATAAAATATATTTTTCTTTAATAGACAGTCAAGGAAAAATTATGTTTCATTGGAATTATTATCTTGATTATTATGTCAAGATAATTTATTTTAATTTTATCGTGAATTTCGAAAAGGAATCAACTCTCAAAAACCGTTAGAGACATTTTCACTATTAATTATTATATAAAAGTGAGAATTACACTTTTTTAAGTTGAGCCCTTTTCGAAATTAACGATTCAATTCGCAGTTTTCTCGAAAATATCAAATTGATACTAAAATGTATCAACTTGATACCAAAACGTGGATCAAATAAAAAATTGATCTAAGCTTTGTGTATCAAATTGATACACTTTAGTATCAATTTGTTACTTTCAAGAAAACTGTGTTAAAGAACATTGTTTAATTGAAACATATTTTTTGATTGACGTATTTTTTGATCTGTGAGGTAAACAAACAGTTTTCTCAGTGTAGAGAAATTTTTGCAAAATTCAAAGTACCTTAATACTTTTTCATCGCCCGTCGTCCTTTCAAGGAGAAGGAATAATCGCTCTCAGTTTCGTCAGAAACGGAATCTTCAAACCAAGTTCTACTCGAAGCTAGTGAGTCAAATAGAGAGTCAGTTTTTAGCGATCGACTTGAATATCCCGATTCTATGATTGCACATTCCTCGAGTTGTAAAAATTTCTTCATCGCCACCATTTGTTGTGCTTCGAATGCTTCTAAATTTTTTTCCCCAAGTGACTTCCTGGCACAATTGGTGGTTTTTTCCAGTTTCTGAATAGAAGACCTTCTTTGTTGTCCTCTTATTTCTTGTTCGGTCATGCTCAAAAATCTGCTTGCCCTATCAATGTACTCCTGCTTTACTGGAATCCATTGGACGCCATTTTTTGTGTTATTAGTGCTAGTGGTGGTAGTGGTGGTGGTTTTTTTGGGAGTTGTTGATTGTTTTCTAAATGGACTTCTAATATTGCTCTTTAGAGTTGAAGTCGCTGGTACTTTGGCTGTTCCGATCTCAGATCCCTTGTAGGATAGTGAGATTGACGAGAGGGAGGCTGCAGAGTTTGACTCGATGTCACTTACGCTTTCAGTTGTGCTTCCACTTCCGCTTCCAGTCACGCTTCCACTTATACTTCCAGATACCCTTCCGCTTCCACTTCTACTTCCAGTTCCGCTTCCACTGACACTTCCCATTTCAATTTCTTCCGGAACTTGTCTTTGCATTTTCTTCAACTGAAACAAAATTATATTTAAATTATTTTTATAAAAGGTAATAATAATATTTTTATGTTTAAGTTTTCAATTTAGTTTGAAGTCAATTTTAGGACTTGAAGCTATAATTTTAAAACTAAATTTTAAGGTAAAGTTTTAATATTAAGCATTTGTGAAATGTAACCAATTAAAGATTACTTGATATTTTTTCTAGGCGAAACACTACAGAGTTATCAAAGGATCAACAACGAAGAGAAATTGACGACAGTTTTCTACCAATGTGAGAGAAAACTAAACGTTAATATATCAACACTTCTGAAAAACGAAGAGGGGTTTTTTTTTAAATCTGAGCTAATACCTTAATAAAACTGATCAAATCAGTTTAACAGGCAGATAAAAACCATATGTGGATCTTCAGCTGGACATAACCTTTTAATTTGTTTAGTCAAACCATTTAGTTATTTCAGGGATCACAGTGAATTTTTTTCATATAATATTAGGTAAAAAAGGGGACTTTATTTTTCAGAAAGGGTTTAGGGTTTTATTTTAACTAAAACTTTTAGTTTAGGGTCAGGCTTTGCCAAACGGATCAGCTAAAATTAAAATAATCAGGGTGGCCACACGTCAGTAAAGTCAAGAAATTTTTTAATTGTATATAATTGAGAAACTTATCTTTAAAAAATTATTGAAAAATTAATTGTAAGAATTTGTTTATTACAATTTTTTTGGTACCTTAATAATTTAAGACAAAAACATGGACAGTTATTATAAAAAATTGTTATAAAACAATTTGACAATTGTTATAAAAAATTGAATTTTTGCATTTAAATAATTGAATTCTATTTTCTGAAAATCATTTAAAGTAATTGATTTAGAGATGAAGTATAGTTGAAAATTGTAGAAAATAATTGAATTCAGAAAGGGTTATAATTATGTTATTTTTAGAAATTATTAAAATTCATAAATTTTGTCAGAGAAAATAATTTTAATGTCAGTAAACTGTCAGGGAAATTGATAAACTGAAACTTGTGACCATCCTGAAATAATTTTCTTATGTTGAAAAATAAGTAAATTACATACCTGTTGTTCTTTGTATTCAATAATGGACTTCCGTTCGTTTATCAAGTTGTTTATTAAGTTCTTCTTTTTTGTAACCACTGCGTAAAATCGGGGCAATTTCGATCCACATTCCTCGCAAGGTTTGTTGGGATCCATGCCAACTGGTTTCATCTCTCCAACCCAATATGTCGAATTCAAAAAATCTAAACAAACGAATCAAGACGATTTTTATAAAAATTCACAAGGGTTTCTATTTTTAGATCTAACAGGAACTTTAATTGAGATTTATAGAATTGTTAGATGTTTAATTGAATATAATTGAATTTCGAATAGAAATCTTAAAAATTCTTAAATAAATAAGTTTTAAAAATAACAAATTAAAGGCAGAAAATTACATTAAGGGTCGGTTTCATCAACACCGATTAAAAGTTAATCAATGACTTTAATCATTGATTAACTTTTAATCGGAGTTGGTGAAACTGGCCCTAAAAATCTTAAAATTTTGATTGAATCGTGAATTTTAAAAAGGGTTTAATTCTTAAGAGCGTTAGTCATTTTCGCGATTGGACTACATCTTTAATAGTAATTGCATATTTAAAAAAAATAACGTTTCATAAAATTAAAATTATCTTCTCACCTTTCTTTACTTCTCCCGGAGCATTGCCATTTCTTGCCTTAGTCGACATATATGAAGTAGCTGTGGTATTACATGTCGACGGAATCGACATATCGAGTCCAAAGGTTTGTTCCTGATTTGTCCAGGGTGTTGGTTTTAGAGGTGAAGGCCTCTCCAGGGTACTTGTATAGAAAGCAGGTTTCTTTCCAGTATCAGGTGTTGATAATTGCGGAATCTAAAAATAGGTTTTAATTTCTTCAATTTCGTGCTAATTACTATAATACACTACTAATTGTATAATTACTACCTAGTCGGAAAATTGTATTTCGAGAATCGACCGGGAATCACTTTATATTTAAATAACTTTGTTAGTTAAATTAAATTAAATTAATTAATTAAATTAATTAATTAATTAAATTAAATTAATTAAATTAAATTAAATTAAATTAAATTAAATTAATTAAATTAAATTAATTAAATTAAATTAATTAAATTAATTAAATTAAAATAAATTAAAGCTTTAAATTCCGTTAAAATAAATATTCTATACTCACTTTAAAATTATTAACAGGCGTCATGAAGGGTGTACCAATTTTTTTGCAGAACGGCTTCGGTGTAATGACATTCACCAATGAACTATTAAAATAAGACGATTGATTTGATTTATCGTTAGTTGGCGTTTTATTATAACCATCAGAATCATTTAAATTAAATGTACTGTCAAAATTCTCCGTCATTCTATTAATTTCCGAATTCATATTTGAATTAATGTCGATATTTTGTTGATTTTTCTTTAGGATTTTATTTCCTGCTGTTTTATTTGTCAATGGTGATGTTGGTTCAAGGACAATATTAATATTTTGCACTTTTCGTGATGGTGAGATTTTCGGAAAACTATTACTCTTATTGCCCAATTTTGTTTTTTGCGATTTCTCACAATCGTCATTATCTTTAGTTGATGATGATACTGATGACGATGATGATGTTGATGATAATTGCATATTATATTCACTGATGTCAATTGGTTTAACATTCTCCAATGTTATTGGATCTTGAATGGTCTTTTTACATTTTGGTGATAAAATGTTCTTTTGATTTTCAATGGTGATTTGATGTGTATTTGCGTTATTAATTGATGGATATGCGAGTTCAATTTTTGATTTTGGTGTTGTTCTTGTTTCTCTGCTGTAAATGCCTATAAAAGTAGATTTTCATATTTTAAGGTATAAATTTTTATTTAATTATGAAAATTTTTATTTTAGAATAAAATTTTATAAAAAGTAAAAAAAAAAGTTTAATTTTTCTGAAACCCCGAAAAAATAAATAACTTTTGCTTCAAAAAGTAGAAAAATATCAAATTAAAAAACTTGTTCGTAGTTATCTTTCGGAGTTTTGTTTTTTCTTTGTTTTTGTTTTATTTTTATTTATTTATTTTTTTTTTTGAAGTAGATTGATATTAAGTCTTACGAGTAGGATCAGCAATTTCTTCAGTGTGACGAGCTTTTTGTATAACTTGCTTCGAAGTACCCTGTTTCCATGAGGGCTGTCTATAATCAATGGGTGTGTCATTTTTTAGAATTTTCGGTGCCTTAGAATGTTTATTGAGGTACCATTCTGGAATTTCTAATTTTTGCAATGCTTTTTGCACCCTCATTTCTGCCTCTGACATCACACGTTTAGGCTAAACATTAAAAAATTAAATTTCAATTCAATAATTAGTTTATAAAACGTATTTTTAAAAATTTTAAATTAAAAAAAAATTCATCAATTTGAAACTTACAGATTTTGACTGCATTCCCATCATATTATTTTTAATCCACGATGCACTTGACGTCATCTTTTTTCAAAAGAAGCTTTCTTCTGAAACTGAAATAAAAATATTTTTTCATTAATAATTATAAATAATAATAATCAATTAAAATTTAATAATAATAGTAATAATAATGAAATTAAAAACACCCCAAATTTTTAAAATAATATGACACAAAAATAAGTATTTTTTTGTTGCTTTTTCTTCTGTAATGTACAACAAATCGAAAAAAAACTGCTTTTTAAACGAGTCATAAATTTCCATATTGTAATGTTTTTCAAAAATAAAAAGATTATTTTTTAAAGAAGATACATCGTTAAAGACATATTAAATATAAATTTATTCGTACTTTGTTTATAGGATTTAAAATAACTAATAAGTAAAAAATTAAAAAAAGGACATTAAAAAACATACCCTAAATTTTAATTTATAACGCATTAATTACAATTAATAATTAATAATATCAATAATATTATAGGTAATTATAGTTATATTGTATCAAAAAACAGTTTTAACAAAAATTAAATATTAGGTTATCGTTATTATTATAATATAATTAATTAATAGTAAATAAATAATATACATAAATAATAATAATTATTATTATTATATTAAAAAAGCAAAATTAATTTAAAATAAAAAAAATAATATTCTAATTAGAATATTAATCACTTTCTAATTAGAATTCTTCATAATATACATAACTGGACCATATATATAACAAGTGTGAAAATATATTGTAATAAGTGTGACTCGATGTTTACGCTCCTGGTGAAAATGAAACGTAAATACTAAATATCATGAAAATGAAAATTTCGCATTGAAGAAAGTTTTGTGGGTTTTTCCTAAACTGTTGGGACTTTTTCCTCATTGGAAAGGTGTATATACAAAAATCTCACCGTGTAGTTTGTATGTGTATATGAATTTAGGGTTCTCTCTCTTTGCATTATTGTCCTAAGGATAATATATATAAGTGTCTGACGCCAATATCTATATAGTATATAAAAACCCAGGGGGGACTAATCGCGGTGAGGGTTTTTCTCGGGTCCATTTTATGAATCCGGCAGGTCATCGTCTTTACGACCCTCATTTTCACTCAAATAAAAGAATCATAAAACTTAAACGTCATTTTTCTACTGTCGCAATGAAAATAAGCCTCTTAAAAGTTTCAACTTAAAATCCCAGCTGCCCATTTCACCCCCTATATTATATATTTGCATAGTAATTTTACAGGATTTAAAGTCATATTTCCAGTGAAAAATTTCTCAACAAATTTATTTTTACAACTTGTTTCAAAAATTCTCTTTCGCCGCCTACAAGTATTTTGTGTTGTAGAATTCGTAATTTTGTACTTTTCTTTTCATCTAATGTATTATATTTTCAATTTTATTGACAGTGTGAAAAAAGATAAATTAAATTTTCTTTTTTTTTTTAAATAACAAATTGCAAAATGTTTTAACTAATGAATGTTTCATTATCTAAAAGAATTTTTTTTTTTTAAAAAGCAATCATAATCATTCGTTTTGTTTATATTTATTAATTTACTATTTTAATAATAAAAAATAAAAATGTAAATATAAATAAATAAAATGAAATAAGAGAAAATAATATTTATCACAATAATGAATTATTATATTATTATTTTATAATTTTTATAATAAGAAATAAGGTAATAAAATATTAACAAACTATTATTATCATTTTTCTATTTTTTAGCTTCATTTTTATTATTTTTTTTGTTATTATTTTTAGAATTCAAATGTTAATTCCTTTATGAATATTAATGTGTAAATTACATTGTTTGTTTAAATAAATAAATGTAAAATATTTTTACCGTTTATTTAAATTATTTAAAATTTTTCCGGGTTTAAACTTTAAAATTAATTTTTTTCTTTTCTGCACTCATTTGATTAAGATTTTTTGTTTATTATACTCATTTTTAACTATTATTTTTGCCTGAATATAAAATAATTTTTTTAATTTGATTTTGAAAAAGTTTAATTATTTATATAATAATCAAAAATCAAAAATAGTAATAAAAATGTAATAAAAAAAATTACTAAAGTAACGAAAATTGAAGAATTTACTAAATATTGAAAATAAAGAACCATTGATAAAAATAATTTATTAAAAAATTATAAATAATTAATTTGCAGGTGCTTGAAATAAAGAAATATTTTTTAATGATATATTATGAAATATTTTTGTAAATTAGTAACAAACAAAAATATTAAAATTTATAATTGATTTATAGTAAAGAAAATAACTTACATTTTGACTTGAATTGGAAATAAGAATCGCCAAACAATTTCTTAGATTTGAGGAAAATTGCACTTGTAACACATTTATAAATTGATGCACTTTTGAAAACACTGAATCACTGACTTGCAACTCGATGCCAACGCACGACTAAACGGAACTGCGACTAAAAGGAAACTAATTGCTCCTTGCTGAGGACTAAGGCAGGTAGGGTATCCGGTATCCTGAATTTGGCAAATTTTCACAAGACAATGCTCAAAAACCCATTATGCCCTACTACTACCACCTATTGTCTTCTATTAGCCAATCAGAACACTTGCCTACAAATTCAGGTATGTAAGTGGCGTACTTACCCTTTTGCATATAGTTATGAGTTATTTTATACATTTTCGATTTTTAATTTCGGTTTCATTTTCTATGAGAAAATAGAGCAATATAGTAAAATAATTATTATACACTGGGGTTTAAAAAAAATGTTTTTCTTCAAAATTGCTTTTATTTTAAAAAGAGCTTTTTTTGTAATATAAAAAAGGTTTACTTTTCGAAATGTAACTTACTACTTTTTAAAAATTTTTAAAAATTTAAAAATTTAAAAATTTAAAAATTTAAAAATTTAAAAATTTTAAAAAATTTAAATTTTAAGGGGATTTGAACCTTGATGACGTCACAGTTTGTGCAAAGCATTAGTTTTAAATCTGTGACGTCATCATGGTTCAAATGCCCTTAAATAATTTAATAATTTAAATTCTTCTGAAATTAGTTAATTTTTTAAATATATATTTAATTAATTTTTAAAAATAATGGATTTATAGAAGAATTTTAGTTAAAAACACTTTAAAAAAATTGAATTTTTGAGAAATTACAAAATGAATGTAAAAATTCAATTATTTTCAAAAATATAGTAAAAATCTTCGCAAAAATTCAATTATGTTCAAAAAATATTTTAAATTCTCGTCAACATTTCAATTATCTTTATAAATAATAAAATTCTTCTCCAAAATTCAATTATTTTCATAAATATAATAAAAATTCTCCAGGAATTCAATTCAAATTTTTTATAAAATTCTTCACAATAATTAAATTTTATTTTCTAAATGATAAAATTTTTTACAGCGATTCAAATAATTTTCATTAATAATAATAAAATTTTTTTTAGAAATTCTTAGAAAAAAAGGAATTATTCTTAAAAATGTATAATTAAAATTCGGCGAAAGATTTCAATTTAAAAAAAATTGTTAATAAAATTCTTTATGAGAATTCAATTTTCAGAAACATTCAATTATTCAATAAATTATTTATTTTTGTATTTAGGTTCAAATTTTTTAAAAAATTCTCGTCAACATTTCAAATATATTTATAAATAATAAAATAAATTCTTCTCCAAAATTCAATTATTTTTAAAAATTTTCATAAAATTTTTCAAAAGAATTCAATTATTTAAAATTTTAAAAACATTTTTAACAAAATTCTACGCAAACATTTAATTAATAAAAATTTTTACAGGGATTCAATAATTTTCATAAATAATAAAATTCTTCTAAGAAATTCCTCGAAAAATGTAATAATTATTATTCTTAAAAATGTTATTAAAATTCTATGAAAGATTTCAATTTAAAAAAATTTGTTAATAAAATTCTTTATGTGAATTCAATTTTAAGAAATATTCAATTATTCAATAAATTATTTATTTTTGTATTTAAATAATTGAATTCTCGTATAATTTTCTAATATAAAAATTGATTATTTAGAAATGAATTTTAATTAAAATTTTAGATAATATTTAAATATTTAAAGCATTATAACATGAATTTTTATAAATAATTGAATTTTAAAAATGTTTTAAATTAAAAGTTTTGAAAATTTGAATTTTCCATACTTTCAACTAACAATTCGAACTAAAAATGATTTTAAAAAAATTTTTTTTATGCTTTTGCAATATGTTAAAGTTGAATTAATTTTACGTATATTTTTGCAAAGTTTGAAGCAATTTTTACCGTCTACTTTCTAAAATATTTGGCATTAAATTAACACTGCGTCTTATATAGAGTTAACTTCCAAAAACTCAAAATCACAACTTTACCGTCGAATAATATGTGAAAAATAATTTTAAACTGAATTAATAAAATTAATGAGCAAAAATTCAGTGAAACGTGGCAACATTTGTATTTATTCAAATTCAATGTCATTTCGTGCGGAATTTTAAAAATTACCAAATAAAAGCTTCAGATAAATTGATTTTTTCCAATTTTTAATTTCATCAAATCGAAAATATAATTATTTCCAAAATCGTTAAAAATGTTGATTTTATATTTTAAAAAAATAAAAAATAATAATTAAAAATTAAAATAAATAATATAATAAAAGGATTGAATTAACCTTATTTTTATTATATTTTTATGAATATATATGAGTATAAAATTCAAATTTTAGAGAATGTAAACTTAATTTTTAATATGAATTAAAATTTGTAAATTTTAAACAAACCTAGGGTCACAGACTGACCCCATATGTGTTCTCAAAGGGTTAATTTTAATTTAGTTAATTATTATTTGACTTCATTTTAATATAAATAGTGAATTTAATTAACTACGCAATATTCATTTTAATAGTTTTTATAATTATTTTTACTGTAACCATTTTTTTTTTAATAGTTTTTATTTATAAAAATGAAAAATCTCTAATCTATATATTAGCATCTCGTCAAGGTTCATAATCAGATTGACATGTAAAATATTTATACCCGTGTCTCTTTATGTATATACTTTGAGGTATATACAAAACATTTTGTTTCCGTATTGTTATCGAGAGTAAAATCCACTTGTACCACACAGGTAAGCGAATATAATAATAGAAAAATGACAACTTGCTGGCGACACCCTTTTGGTTGGAGAGCCCCTTGAGTCTAATTACTTTTGGGAACACAAAACTGATTCCAGACGGTATGCTTCATGAGTCTACTTTGTGATTCACTACTGTACACTAATATCCACATTTTTATGTCTTTCCTAATTGCATTATGCCAAAGAAACTTTTTTTTTTCTTTTTTCTTCTCTTACAATAATATACAATATATACATATACAAACTAAATTACTAGTGTCATTTAAAATTAATTATAAAATCTTAAATAGTAGAGATGAGATAAAAATTATAAATATACTTAAAATTCAACTGTCGTCGTTTTTTTCTCATTTGTCTTCATAAAACTATTCTATTAGGTTTTAAAATTATTCTATTAGATTCTCTTATGAGCTAGAAAATAATTTTTTTAAAATAGACGTCTTTTGTTATCTGTCTTAGTTTTACATTATTTTGAAATTTTTAAAGTATTATTTTAAATTATTATATATTATTATTTATAGGTATTATATTATAAATAGGATATGCATTTATAAGATTATAAACTATAAATAAATAATATAAAAAATATAATAAATATTATACTATTATAATAATATTATATTACTGTTATTATTATTATAATATTATACAGTGAATGTTGTTGACCTTATTGTTAAAATTAAGATAATATTATTATTAAAATAATTAATAATAATGTTAAAATAAATATTGTAATATTTATTTTTTCTATTTTTATTATATTTATTATTAGATTATTTATTAAAAGCATCTATTTATTTGTACAATTTAAGTATAATACATAACAAGTGTAGATGCTCTGATAAGATTCACTTTTAACTTTTATCTTAAATACGTCAGTATATCTCAAAATCTTCAACGTGTATTTAACAAAATAAATGTGTAAAGTCATTATTTTTATGAGTTTCATCTTTATTAAAGTAACGTATATTCATTATACTCTTCTGCTCTAAAATTTCCATACAATTACAAAATTGTAATTTTAAAGTTAAAAAGAGAGATAACAAATCTGTACAATCAAATAGTTATTTATAAGATTCATGTACAGTCGAACCTGTCGGAATGCAACTATATTTAAAAAAATTTTATATTCTAAAAAATGTTTAAAAAAAATTATTCTCACTTATAGTTATATTATAAGAATCATTTCAATTCAATTATTATTTTTAAGAATTTTTAACTAAGATTCTTCTTTAAATCAATTATTTTTAATAATTTTCGAAAAAGTTCTTTGCAAATTTTCAAATCCATTTGTTTATAAATATTCAATTTTACGAAATTTCAATTATTCGTAAATTCTTCAATTAAAATATATAAATATATATACATTAGAGAATAAAAACTTCGAATTAAATGTTTCTTAAAATTCAATTCTCATGAAGAATTTTATCAACAAATTTTTCTTGAATTCAATTACTTTCAAACTAATCTAAATGAAATTCCCAAAAAGAATTCAAGTATTTTCAAAAATTTTAATTAAAAAAAAATTAATTAATAAAAAAAAAATTTTAATAAAATTCTTATCAAGAATTCAATTTTATTTTCAAAAATAATAAAATTATTTGCCGAAATTTAATCATAGGTAAATGAAATACCTCAAAAAAATTTAATTATTTTTCAAAATTCAATTATTTCTTTTAATATTCAATTATTATCTAAAATTTTAACTGAAATTCATTTTTATGAAATGAAAATCAATTTTTATTAGAAAATTGTATACGAGAATTCAATTATTGAAATAAAAAAATAAATAATTAATTGAATAATTGAATTTTTTATTAAATTCAATTACCATAAAAAAATTTATCAAAATAATTTCTAAATAATTGAATTGTTTTGACGAATTTTAATAAAATTTTTAAGAATAATTACATTTTTCGAAAAATTCGATAAAAATTGTATTAAAAATAATTGAAATTCAGCGATGAGTTTTATTATTTGTGAAAATAATTGAATCCCTAAGAATTAAGAATTTAAAAATTTTTTAATGAATTTCTGTGATGAAGAATTTTATTATACTTTTGAAAATAATTGAATTCCACAGAATTGTTAAAACTTTGAAAGATTCAGATTTTCAAAGATTTTAAAATTAAAGTCATATAAAGAATTTTGTAAATAAATTTTTGAATAATTAAATTCTTTTGACGAATCTTAATAACATTTCTTAAGAATAATTACGTTTTTTGAGGAATTCGATTAAAATTGTACTGAAAATAATTGAAATTAATTAATAATTCAAAATAATCGTATTTCTATAACAAAATTGATTAGTTTAAAGAAAAATCGAATTCTTGTGATTAATATTATTATTTATGAAAATAATTGAATTTTGCAAAGAAT